TTCAAAACGCGATATATTAGTTAAACTTATTTGAAAATAATTTTTAACTTCGGCCCGACGTTTCGGATGCTTTGCAGCAGCCGTGGTCACGGGAAGACAGCCGTGACCACGGCTGTCTTCCCGTGACCCGTGAAATTTTGAGAAAATTAATTTATTTGGTAATATCTAACGTTCAAATTCTTTTGTACTTTGAAAGCGCAAAGCAGGTGGCATCCATAACATACCGAAGTCATTCCAGAGTGACAGGTGAACAGCTGATCGAATTTTTAATCGATGTAAATGTTGTTGTCTATGCATAGGTATATGCGAGTTTGCGAAACTTCTCGCTCAGTCTTGGAATCATAAAATACGGCCATTTTCGGATCTCATAAACGATTTAATTATTGTTATTGGAATTCCATCCATGAATCAAACGAAATAAAATATGCCTTTATTTCATGCTTCGTTAGAAGACAAGCAATTGGTGTCTCTATCCTTTACAGCGCAAGTTATTTATGGCCCTCTAACATACCATTGCGTAAAGATATACGGTTCTATTGAGTTATTTTTTTACTAGAATAATTATTGCTTTCTATGTACTTTCACATATTTTATATAATAATACCGTTATTGTTATTTATGAATATGAAATTAAAATTTAAACAATAAATCATAATATATTTTATAGTAAAATAATTCGTAATGTATACAATTCAAATCCTTTGGGTGACAATCACCCAAAATGCCGTGTAAAGTTGAAAAGTAACCAATAGTGTCTTTCGCATTTGCAACTTCAACGCTTAAGTGTTTATTATATTATAAGTTATCATGTGTATGTAAAATTATAATAATTCAAGCATGATGATTTTTAATTATGAAGGAAGAAATAGGCGAGAAAAAAGTGTTTTCGACCTTTGAATGTCCTTGAAATCTTCATTTTATATTTATCTAAATTATGACCAATTTGTTTAAATACTTCGTTATTAAACAAACATAGTATTATGTTTGTTCGTATGCTATGGAGAGCGCTCGGTTTTAGCAGGTCTGAAGGTAACAGTAGTTACTCTATGCGGTCATCATTGTGTTCGCCCTAAGGTCTTATTTCGTAACTGCGTAAAACAGCTTTATTTGTTTTGATGATGTCACTGTTTTACTGTTGTTGAAAATTGTAAAAATCATAAGCAGGATATTTTTTTTGAAGTTTTATCATATTTGAATATTTCCGGACTTGAATATGTAATACAAATTGTAGTCAAATGAAAATTTCGATAGTTACCACTTTTTTTTAGTGGCATAACAATGACAACCACATTTAAAAACAAAAAATAATAACACATAACAATGTTTGATATGATAATAAAGATCGATCTTCAAAGAATCTTTCAAGGAATAACTTATAAATAACATGTTCAACACCACGTACTTCCGTCTAAAACATCTAATAACCGGATCAATTGAAAAGAAATTACTATCTATCGGCACTTCCCTGTAATTTGATACAATATAAATTAGACGTGTTCACTTCGAAACGGCTGAATGGATGTTGTACGGCTTCTGAAACAGATAGCTGAACGGACTTCCTTGAAACTTTAGCTTAGCATAAAGCATTTTATAAGTATGAGCTTTCTAATTGGATATATTCCTACACCTTATTATATATGGTGTTGTTGAAGACAAACAATCATGGGGTTCTCTTCATGGTAGGTAAAATACCGCAGCCTATAGCATCTAAACAAGATGCACTCTCGACCTATATTGGGCTTGGATATTTTTTTTTTTTGCGTCTTGTACTCTAGTATATTTATAGGAATCTTGAATTTGTACTTTATGCGACTTGTATATAACAAAATATGAACTATTTTTATCGAGTTAAAACGTGATTTATTGGGTACCTTCTACCATTAAATAGGTCTGTAACGTCACGAAGTTAAAAACCAACAAATTTATTTTCGGCGTTTATAAGCTTTCAAAACAAATGAATCTTGTAACATTTTACAATTTATTTCCATATAAATTGTAAACGAGAATTATTATGGAATTAATTCAAGAGTACACCGTATAATGAAACATTACCTACAACTGTAAATGTTTATTATATTATTTACGCTATCATGATCGAAGTAAACGGTAGAAGCTCGGAACGTTTAACCATTAGTTACAGCAATCATTAAATCAAATTGCTCTGTTATTTGTCTTAACTGTTAGAGATTGAGCTTTTTTGCTTCAGTACGACATTGCTTCGACATTTTCACCCATTTAGCAGAGTTAAATTACAAGCGATTAGTTCCCTCGACTTTTGTTACATGGGCGATAATACGAATCTATGGGCAGGAGTGGCCAACCTGCGGCAGCCCTTTTTTTCAAATCAGTATATTAATTTATGATATATTTTTATTAATATCTTTCCAAATAAAGTAATTTGCGGCTCGAACCATTTCCTTCGATTTAGATTCAAAAACCTTTTGCTCTCATTCTCCAATAAATAATATATCAGCTTTACCTGCTAGTGAAATAAATGAAAAATCCCCCTTTTCCAATTTGTAAGACCCACACACCGAATTAACTAACAAGCAAAATATGAAGTTACCAATGCTTCGTTTATATCTTTTCAAATAAATACAATTTATCATTAAATGATCCCTGCTGTACATTTCTTCAATATGTATTTAATTGTGGCTCGCAAAAATTGTTCCAAGTCATCGAAAATGCCTCGATTTATCTTGGCCACCCCTGCAATGGACTTTCACCTGTCCATTAAGCTTCGATTGGCACTAAATTACCATCATTCGTAGAAGTGTTCCCCAATGAAATAAAGACTACCGGCTGATAAACGATGGTCACGAATCCTTTTAAGAATCACGACTAGCTGGGATACAATGGACCGTTGTTATTCAGTTATTGGTGGAGTGAAAGTATATCGTATGATTGGCTATTGTGGAGACAGGACACGGACACGACTCCGGGATCGGATTGATTGTCGTGTGAACCGTCTAATTTGTCATTGCATTCGAATCGGTGTGGTAATTGTTATCTTTTATACTGAGTGTTATATAGGAGTACATTTGAGAATGTACAAAGGGGACGGCGTTGATGTTTGGTGTAATGTCTAAATTGGAGCTGTTATTCAATGTATGTTCAAAAAGTTTCACGCTGAGATTTAAAAAAATCTTGAAATCATCGATAATTTGATTTCTGAATTACTTCTGTGCTTTATTATCGTAGTAGATAATGTACTTTTTCGTCCTAGAACTACAGCTCGAACTTTTGGTTGCTTTGCAGCAGTCGTAATCCTTCCCGTTGAAAGTGTTTTATTTAAATTTGAAATTAGAATTATGTATTCTATTACACATATATCGTATTGTCATTCGAAAACAATGAAATGTTACGATCGTGGTTACAGTTTTGTGATTTGATATTCCACTGTGCGACGGCCTTGTGCATTCTGCAGTGGAGCGGCATCCTTGATCGTATTAGTTAACATGAATTATCGAGGGAGCAATAATCACTCGTGTACCCATACCCTTTGTAACGCCCACGCTTAATTAACAAGAAGACAAGACCTTGTTAGCTAATTGTTTACCTTCCTAGTTACATAAGGGTTTATGAAAATAGTAAAACCAGCAGTTTACTATATTGGATTTCATAGTTTGTTTACGAGAGTTGTATGCGTGAAATAAAAGCCTTGTTACGGGTTATAGCCCAATATGGTATTTAAATACAAAATAATATTTTTACCTACAATCCAGCGTTTCAGATCCTTTTCAATAAACACTAAAAATAATAGACGCCTGCGCATTTAATTAACTAAGATATTTCTCTTTTTAGACCGACAAAATGTGTGTAAATGCTTTGTACCGTGAAGTGTAGAAGTTCTAATCCCTGGAAAAATATATTATTTGAGTCTATAAAAGTTATTTCGAAAATAATCTACACATTTTCTCTAGAAGAGCCCGCCAAAGGAAAGTAGTTGTGCCTTCATTTAAGTTAATAAACGGAATTCCTGTTGCCAATGGGAATGACCAAAGCACGCAGTTATTTCTCACGTCACGTCAGTTAAAACCGGTTTTAGAATTTGGATAATGAATTAGTGGGTATATATCTTCATAAGCTAATTTTCTTTAATTGACTACGTATTCTTGGAATGATGTAATCCTTCACGCTCTATTGAAAACGGTAATATTTAAACAACGTTTTTCGTATAAGTAGGGATGGACCACTTAAACCGAACTTCGGAGCAAGTTAGAAGTTAAATATATAAATGTAATATTAATAATATTTACCATTGCCTTTAATAATCTTTATTGAAAATGTGCTATTGATACAAATGTACGATTGAAGTATTTTTGTTCAGGTTAAGATATTACTGTGTATACATATGTGTCGCGAAGTAAACTAACGTTTAAAGAAGCATGCGCGTGTTATTCCTAATTGCATACATTTCTATAGTTTTCCAATCAATACATCAATCAAACCGAATTTCGGTTACAGTTAAAATCACATTCGGCGCATCTCTACTTACTGCTGTCCTTCATATTTTAATTATTAGCCATATGCCGTTTAGCTAACTCAATGCGCTATTGTTCGAATGTACGCGATTTGTACAAACATGGTGACCGGTGGCTTAACTTCATATTGTAATTATGATGTAAATACTTACTAAAATACGCGTATTTTGGTAAGTATTTAAGTGCTACAACAAATTATTAAAAACAGAAGAAGTAAATCACAATATTTTGGTATTGTGATTTACTTAGTAAGTTCTACTGTTTAATTATTCTGCGATGTTTAAAGAGAGTAAGACTTATGATTTTCAATTGTTTAATAGTAGTAAACTATAACACGTTTTTCGTTTCGATGCCGATTAGATCACCACTAAATATTTTTTACATAAGTACCACAAGATATATCCAATTATCTATTGAAATTGGAATGTTTTAAATTATAGTTTGCCCTCGCTCGTAGCTTTAATGTTCCTTATTATCTGAAAACTACATATAAATATTCTGTCTTTATCTTTGCAGGTGAATCAGTGTCTGATCGTCCAGAGAGTGAAGCGCGGTTGGTAAACGAACAGAGATGTATGGAAGTAAGAATAGCACGGGCGGCGGGTGGTTTAGGTCTAAGCATAGCTGGTGGAAGAGGATCAACGCCGTACATCGGTGATGATGAGGGCATCTTTATATCGCGGGTCACTCCTAGTGGTCCGGCTTATTCAGCTGGGCTCAGGGTGAGTCTATCCTCTATTTTTATACCTTATATATTTCTAGTTTCAAGAAGATTCAATTTTAAATCTATAGTCTATACCAATATAATATAAAGCTGAAGTCGTTGTTTGTTTGTTTCGAATAAAATTCTAATTAATATTAGATTAATATACCATAACTATATTGGATAAAGATCCAACCACCACAAAACAATTTTAAACAGTAACTAACACGATAAAAGTTTCGAGAAAGGCTTTAAGGCTATAAAACATCACGATGCGACAAGCAGGAACGAAAAAACAGAGGAAAATGTGGAAAAAAACGGGTAATAATATTTATCCTTGAGGGTTTCCGTTGCGTGCGCGACAAGATACCCAAAAATATGTTTCACAGCAAAATTCTTCTTTAAGTAATCTAAAAAATGTTCGGGTCAGTATATGTCCATCATTTAAGATTAACTCACAACAACTCTTTTTATGTTGACTTTTGGTCGAAATACTGCAATAAATATGATATGGCAAAAGGTTTACCAGTTCAGCTGCAAATATTTATTGCTATAGACACGGACTATTATCATTTTAAAGATCCAACAACTAATACCTATTTCTAGACGACCTAAAAATATGACCTATTATGGTTACCCCTATTAGGTTATAAGACTCAAGGTGGTATTGAACCGCAAAGCACCTTGAAATTGTCTCAGATGACAAATGAAAGATTATATTAAAGGGCGTCTTCGTGACTACATTTCACCGTTTGCCTACAGGTCGGTGATAAAGTGTTGTCGGTGAACGGCACCTCTGTGGTGGATGTGGACCACTACTACGCGGTGGAAGTACTTAAGGCGAGTGGGGCTACGCTCACTCTGGTGGTGACGAGGGAATCGCCTACATCGACAAGGTATTTGGAAACTCTTAGTCCGTTTGGAGGTTGATTTGTAGAATCATTTTGGAGTATAATATATGAGGCCGCTAGATGCAGAATGGCCTAACTGCAATTTTATGACTAATTATAATGTTTTTATAGTCTAAAATGTTAATCTCCAAGAGCACATGTTATTTTGTTTTGGCGATTTTTAATTTACGTGGCGGCACCTAATTTAAAAATTACAACTTGAAGGCATCCAGCAGCGTTCCGTGCTGTTGCTCTAAAAAAGCTACCGTATCCTATACTGTATATGTCATCGTCGAGTTTTTTCCACTTTTTGATACAGGCAACTCTCGCGAAAAGAAATTTAAATCTTAACATTTGCATATTAAGGTCTGGTTTTGCGTTTTAATCCAGCCCGTGTCGCTTTTTAACTAATAGAATATCTGAAATAAAAACATTACCTCATTCTTGAAGTAAGAGTACTATAATGAAGTCTTGATTATCAGAACCCATAGTCGAGCAGCGAGCGGTGCAAGCCATCACTCAATTTCGACAGCGGACACCATATCGACATTGGAGAACGGACAGGTAATCACTAATCGCATTCCACGACGTTATCTCAGCAACCCTTATCTGTGGATCTATCTCCACTCGTGACTCGTGCTCCAATTGAAAATTTTCACAAATAACGTCACGATTTCAATCAAAGTTGATATTACATTGTTTGTAATCGTTTAAAACATCGAGAAATTCAATTAGATCATATTTATATCTATTATTGTGATGATTTTTATCACATCATTTGCACTGTACTTAAAATTTTAAAATCATTGTCTACAGTGGACTGATCGTCATCATGTGATTTCTGTCTCATAGGTTTGTATGTACAAACCGCGTTATTACTGTTAAGACTACTAAAGTATATAAAATGTAGACAAGTATGTACAGACAAAAATCTCCAATTTAAGTACCAATTTTTATCGTTTCTATTTAATATGTTACAACTAACTTATGGTCTCTCAGATACCAACTGGCCGTGGGATACCAACGAAACAGTTAATAATAAGCAATCAATATGCGCAAGAGTTGGAACCGGAACAAAAGGAACAACTGCCATTAACCCAAACTATTATGAATATGACACCGTCTCCTACACCGTCTCCCACGCCAGTGCAGACATATCAGAGGTTGCAAGCCTCCCCTCCACCAGCCACTCAACCATATATTCCACCTGGTAAGTAATGATAACGGACTGTTTGCAGACCACAATTCTACTATCAGCGCTTCTACAGACTGATTGAATTTAAACTCATATTTTTTATGTGTCATTTGTTTTTAAGAGAAATGACAAAAATAAATTTCCATTTAGGAAACGTGACTTTGGATTTTTAGCAAAAGCCTTTTTTTATAATATATGGTTAACTTAACTGCTTACAATGATAAACAACTTAGTAATAAGAAGTATAGAACAATGAAGCTTGAGGAAGTTTTCACTTATGGAATAAAGAGAGTACAGTTTTACAATTAAAAGAGATTCTTATGACCATTTAAAGTTAAAACTATATATACTTATATATTAAGAATATTACATGAATTATGGAGTTTAGGAATGAGTTGTAACTTGTTACATTCCAGTATACCACCAGAAAGTGTTAGTTCACACTACCCTGATCCGCGACGGCGCTGGTCTGGGCTTCAGCATAGCTGGCGGAAAGGGATCTCCGCCTTACCGGGACGATAGCGACGCCATTTATGTGTCAAGAATATCACCCCAGGGCGCTGCTGCGAAGGATGGAAAGATGGCTGTCGGTGATAAAGTTGTTTCGGTAATATATTTTTTATAAATTTAGTTATACCTAACGGTTGGTGGAGAAGAGGTGTAATTCATTTATTATAATTGTTTAAATAAATTTGTATTTTTGTCTAATATTCCATTAAAAGCCTATATAGCTATGGTCCTAGGTCGAGTCCGCCAGTGTCAGCAATATTTTTCAGTCTAAAATAAATTTTTAATTTCTTATTTACCTCCATACCTAATATTTTCATTTTATCCAACTTTAAGCGTTTGCGAATATAGAGCCACTAAAACCATCGTTTGATCTTGTCTTAACTTCACGATTCACTGTTATTGCATAACGTTTTCTCACATTCTTATCTTCTTTGAAACAACATTATTAAAATACTTTATTTAGTCCATCGTATTATATTTTTTTACCATTATAACTGGTGGTTGGTATTCTGCTAAAATTACCAGAATTTTATCGCAAACTTGATTGTCTATGTCTCTAGATAAACGGCGTAGATATGGAGAATGCTACTCACGAAGCAGCAGTTGCAATGCTCACGGGACACGAGAGATTTGTCAGGCTCGTGCTGCAAAGAACGATCACCCCTGAGCAAGGTAAAAAACACTTAACTTTGTAAAAATATATAACACTACAAAATCCGACATAAAACAAACAATATTTAAGTATCAGAACAAGGGCATAGTGTTCTGAATTGTCTGGAAACCAAAGAATAACTATGATCAATATCAATATAGTCTTGCAAGACTTATTATTACATACATAACCTACCTATGCCAATAAAATTATTATACGCAAAATATGTTAGTAACTTATTTAAAATGCTGCAAAACATCCGAAACGTCAAGACGTAGTTAAAATCATTTTTAAATAAGTTTAACTAATATATCGCGTTTTAAACCTTAAAAGTATTTTAAATAAATGTGTTCTACTCGCGTCAACTACAGACAGTGCTAAATAAAATTTTGTTCCCTAAAATCAAAATTTAACTCTTACAGCTGACGCTCTTGCGAGGAAGTCGACATCGGAAGAAGTGAGAGAGCACAAAACGAGTCTCACCAATCTGAACACGCTCACCAAACCCATTTCGAACCACGTCGCACCAACACAAAACCACACAGTACGCGCCACGGCACTGACTACACCCATTGGGCAACAGGTTGCACCACAAATCACTCCACAAGTTGCGCCACAGTTGAAGTTAAACATACTACCGCAAAAGCACGCAAACGTCCCGCCACAACCCGCGCCTCGAAAATTGAGTCAAACTAACGGAACGGTAAGGTTCCGGTTAAATGTGAATAGCTTTGTTTTATATTGCGTACAATTAATATTATATATTATGTTACTAACTTGAAATATTTAAAAAGTCGACGTATCAACGCGTTTATACCAAGAGTGTCAACAACAACAAAAAAGGGGATAACGACTTCGGCTTAGACTATCGAAAAACGAGTCGTACAGGCTCATTTTGTAAAAGAACTGTTACAAGCCTGTATCAGTTCCTTTGCTGAGTCTCACATATATCTTCATATGTAATCCGTAACATCCGTAGTAGATTGTACAAAGAAATACGAAATACTTTTGAAGTCGGTAGATCTTAACAGTAGTTCAATAGTGTACATTAGTAGATGCAGTAGAAGCTTGCTCTACCGCTTGCTTCGTATCGTTAATACATGATTGTTACCGCAGGCGGAAAGGAAACCAATTAACAGTGCCAGCACGCCTCTAACGCCCGGCGCTAGATTGCACGGATCTAACGACGACGTCTTCGACGATATACAGGTAATTCTTGGTTAGATCTAGACTTTTAATTAGCCTAAAAATGAACATTAAGAATTGACTGAATCCTCAGAAAACATTTTGGAACACAGATAGAATCGCGATCTGTGTTATTTATAGTTTATTATGAGGCTAATTAAAAGTGAGATTCGGTAAATATGGCGTATATTGCGACTGTGCAAAAGAGACAACGTACGTGCTCCCTTTTGCACATAAAACATGGCGGTTTTGCCGCAGAGGTGATGGTTATCGGCTTAACACGTTCACATCCATAGACGTAAATAGATATGGTTAGACACTAAACTGGGTTATTCCAATCAATATACATATTGTGGCCACTTTAAATGAATATTGATTGGAAACTAAGTTCTTATAAGTGATAAACCTGTCTATATCATCTGTGTACATGCTTAGAATGTTACGCTTACACTATTATATGCGCATAGCACGTATCTATATAGTGCTGTTGGTTCTCGTTATGTCGAAACTGATATCGTCCCGAAATAAAGAGCTCATGTTTCTGGATGATAAAGTACGACATCTCGGAATTATTCGGCTGTACACATTATCACCGCATATGCTTTTGATAACTGTATTTGAATGCAATAGAAATTCAAATCCAAATATTAATTATCATCTTCATAGTGTCCATAGTGTTAACCCTAATTAAATTTGTACGAAGTATTCATATCAGGATTTGATGGATTGCAGATGCGTGTGAGTATGGATAAATGCGACATCACTGTAATAGTGTATGGAGGAATGGAGAATATATAAATTATGGTTCAACCTTATGAAAGTTTCAAGGAGGAGTTGAGTTTTTTTGTTACATCAGTTTTGTAGAGTTCCTAAAAGATTCATTTAAAAACCTTGTAGTTTTGCTAGAATATCAGCATCGTAGTGATCACGAAATCATCGACAACTCTAAACGGTGAAGTTATAAAATTGAGGTTACCTGTCACTTTGACATGTGCATGCGCATGCGCATTTTCGCTGTAGATTCAATAACTTGTTTTTATAAAAGAATTAAATAAAGGCCCGGTATCTTTTTTCATTAAAATAAACGTGAGCCAAAAAAGCAAATAAGAAAAAAATAAATTGTATATCATCTAAAAATTAAACAAACTCCTTCATTAACTTAAAATACATATTGATGTTCACTTCCTATAAATTATATTACGATTCTATAGTGTGCACGTGAATACTACAGTTCTTAGTTAGAAATCCACCCCACCACTTAAACATTTTGGAAAAACTATAACCCTTGTTTAGTTCATTGCATTCTTTTGTTTTCTATATAATTTAACATTGAGATATTATTGAAATATAAAGAACTTTGTTCGTCTCTATTTTGTGCCGGGTAATCCAAACCTATCTGCGACGTATCACCGTATAGAGTTATCGATTAATCATATCACTGATTCGATGTGAACGTGTTGAGCGCAGCCGGCGCGGCCGATCACGAACGAGGAGTTCCAAGCGATGATTCCGGCGCACTTCCTCGGTGGCCCCCGGGCAGCCCCGAACCCCCCCGAGCGAGGGGTTCGCATCACCGTGGAGCGTCCCAACACCGGGGTCGTTTTGCCCCCCGCGCCCTCCGCGCTCGGTCGCGTCACTGAGACCATCACCAAGTCTACATTCACCGAGACGACGGTCACGAGGGTCACAGATAATCACCTAGCGACGCCGTTGATCATAGAAGTAAGATATGTCACTATCGTCCCGTTTGCACTTGTATAGTAATTATTATATGTACAATTAAAACTTTTAATGCGACAAATATTTACTCTGGTAACCAAATGTGATTCGTAGAATAGAAGTACGTTTATTCAGAAACAAAAAAAAATATAATTTAAACTTAATCTACAAACAAAATCAAGAAGTATAAACAAATTATATCTATATTTTAATTAAACATGTATATAGCCACCTTTGAAAAGGAAGCCACTCAACTATGTTGGGACTGTCACCCACTAGGATTGTCAACACTGATAATAATTTGTGACCCCCTTCAGAGGCCGAGCTAACGCAAGCGAGCTCGTTTTATATTTTGTATTTTACATGTGACAATAATGTAACAGTGTATAACGTTGGACCCACAACTAAACCCATAGACTAGACCTCTATTAAATTAAATGTTTATTAAGTAAAGTATTCATTTTACTTACAAGATAAGCTGTGTGATAAAAATAGATGAAAGAGATTTTTTATTTTCTGGATTGACATTAAAAATGAAACACTATCTTATAAGAGCAAATATAATTTGATCGTTTGTTGTAAAGGTAACATTTACATTTGACGAAGGTTCAAAAGTTTATTATGGCCACTATATATTTTATTTGTTTTCAAAAACACACATATTTATCGCAACTTCGCGGAAATTGAGCTTCTTTCCGTGACAGTTCGATAAACGTTTTCCTACATAAAAACCCGATACTATTTAGTTAAATCTAAAGCCCTGGCTATATTGGTGCTAAATGGGTGACAATTCAAGTTATTAAACGCTCGGATAGCGCCATCTATGTAGAACAGGGCTAATTTATAAAATTCAAACAACAAACTTTGTTAGCTGCTTCATAAGCTAAATGCCATTCCATGAATTGTTCTAGGATGTAACATTGGTTAAAGAAGGTGGTTCACTTGGATTCAGTATTATTGGAGGTACTGATCATTCTTGCGTCCCGTTCGGAGCTAAGGAACCGGGAATATTCATATCGCATGTAAGTGTCCAATAATATATATATTGTATTTTTTCTAACTTGGCAAAAAAGACCAAAAATTTTGGCCTATTAGAATCTGTCCATTTATATAAGTTGGCTTTTTGGGATTATTATTAAATTTAGCATATTGTGGTTTTTACTGTGGTTTAAGTGACTTTGAGACAGTTCATTAGTTTAATATATTATAATTCAGTGTCACAGCGTGTTTATAGTGTAAAGCAATGTAAAAAATGTGAAAAAATCTCGATTTCAGGTAAATTGTGTTTGTTTACCAAAAATGCCAAGTTAGAAAAAATACACTTTTATGTAAGTTCTTCTTACATTATATAAATAATTGGGTTACTTAACTATACAAGATTTTACCTTTTCATATATTTCTATATAATAGAATATATATGTAAGTAATAAAACTATTTGTAGTAAAGTGGGGAAGATTATTATTATTTTTGAAATAGGTTGTACCGGGTGGAGTAGCTGCGCGATCCGGCAAGCTGCGGATGGGCGACCGCCTATTAAAGGTGAACGGTAATGACCTATCCGGCGCGTCGCACCGAGACGCGGTTCAATTGCTCCTACAGCCCGGAAACACACTCGCGTTGACCGTGCGACATGACCCCCTCCCACTAGGATTCCAGGTCAGTGTGGACATGTCCTTGATCTGACACAGGATACGCCATTTTATTAACTGCGCAATTTTAATTTCAAATAGAATAATAGCAATTATTAAAAAATATAATAATGTGCACTAAACAAATAAATTCTAGGGATTTTCATAATCCAAACGCAAAATTCAACAATTAAAAATGCGCAGTTGAACAGTTTTTGGAAAGATTGCACGGTATTGTTAGGTTGATTTAAAATTACCATCATATATCAAGAAAAATTTGCTCAACTATTTCTATACATTAACATATTATACGTAAATAAAAGCAGTAACTAAGCAAGCATGGAATATTCTAATATGGTATGAGCGTTGAAGCTCCATATACATAGTATAGCTAATAACAAATTTGTTTTTCGCCTTGGCGATCCTGTGTCAACGCAGCGTAAGTTTGTATGTTTGATAATTTGTGGGAAAAGGCTTTTGAATCTTTCTAATGACACATGCATTGAAATTACATGACTTGAAGAGAAGTGATTATGTCGAAATCGAAACACCTTAACGCAAACTGGTTCATGTCTGCATGACTGCAAGTATATATATCAATGCTACACGGCATCGAGTAGACGATTTGACGCTTGGTAGTTTGGTATATTGCGTTGTGCTTGTAATCATATAGAACGAGCTATTACTGTGCTGGATCATCGCTACGTACTTGCAGTGAGTGTATTCAGGCACACAAACACTTCAATGATTTTTCGTATGATATATTAGGACAGAAGGACATGAGAAGTGAATCTCACTTGATGGAAAGGGCGGGGCATATAACGTAACGCTGTCGACCTATTTTGGCCTCTAATCCACTGACTGAAACCGGAACGTAGGTTTACACTTTACGGCTTTTCCATTTCAATATTTCTATCATCCATTCAATAACTGAAAAACTTATCACATTTCATAAATACGTTTTGTTTCCACACGTGCGAACGACGGCCGACTACACATATCAGGGTCGCGTTCGAGTTGAGATTGTTGACATAACTGTAAGTGCCACCACCCGAAAAGTTCAAAGATCTGTGTGTTTTTACCAAATATTTGTCAGTTAAATGTCCCCCTATCCCGAAACGGTGTGCTCAGCTAATGTATCGAATTATTTAAATCGCTTTCATATTGAACTGTCTTCTAAATCGGTAGCCATGTAAAGTCCAATACTTTGCTGTAGTTCTTGTTCAGTTATAGTTTTGTTGTTCAATGCTCGACAGTTGATAAAACGTTGTAATTAAGTGCGTTCAACTCTAGATTATGCATGTTGTATTTACAGCGCATTGCATGCGATTTGTGGCAACCTGCTTCCGAAATTTACACGTAAAATAAATACAATGGTCGGTTTCTATATTAAAACTATGCCTTTGCAGCAACAAATTAAAAACGGCTTTTAATATAGAAATCGCATCGTCTCGTTTTTCCTTTAAAAAACAACACGTTACTTTAGTTTTCTAAAGATTATTATTGTAAAAATATCGCTAAGATTAGCACTGACTAGACTATGTGTCAATTCTTGTATTAGTAATAACATTAATGGACGTAAAATATTTAACAGCTTACTATATTATAATGTTTACATCTAAATTTAATTGTATATTCTGTCTAATAGGATCTCACGATCGTTAAGCAAGAAGGCGAAAAACTGGGAATGCATATAAAGGGTGGTCTTAATGGTCAACGAGGAAACCCTAATGATCCCAACGACGAAGGTGTGTTCATATCGAAGATTAATAGCGGCGGAGCTGCTAGACGAGATGGTAGACTGAAGGTACTTACATTTGTACATATCACTATATCGATGAGAAAGGGGTTATATTATGGATCGGATATAAATATTGCAACAATATAATCTTTAAATAGTGAGACAAAACCTCCAGTTACTAAAGAATTAGTTAGTAGTATTTACTTCAAGGTACCCAAGTCGATCAAATTCTTTTTAGTATGTACCAAAATGATTACAGTTTTATTTTAATGTCGCTACAGGTAGGCATGCGGCTTCTGGAAGTAAATGGAATATCTCTTCTTGGAGCAACACACAATGAAGCTGTAAACGCGCTAAGGTCAGCCACGAACGCACCACTACACCTTGTCGTGTGTCATGGCTACTCTAGACCCGAAAAGTATACCGTAAGTTGTTTTATAAAAATATTAAAGTTTTACTAGAATTTTATTGTTGACACACTTAAAGATACTTTTAGTATATATAGTAGAACGCTACAATATAAAAAAGCTATTCACTATTATAGCTTTGTGCACTCCATTTTTTATCTCTACACAAGTAGAAAATCTCCACCTTTAGAAATAGTATTTATCGTTTTATAAAATTCTAAATCATTGAAGACAGTCAAATCAGTGGTAGGCATTAGAAATTAGTGTGAGAGAGACAAACACATGCATGTTTATTCAGACTGGTAGCGAGAGTGGGACAACAGAGACGGGTGGTTCGCTGTCGCATTCCACATCCAGTCTAGATCGGGACGAGTCCTTACTCCACAATCAGGTTTGACTAAAATTTTATGTTATTAAAAAAACTTAACTCTAAGAAACAAACATTTTAGTTAGGAAAGCTTTTGTCCACGTCTAAATGCTTAACTTACTTTATATACTATACCCTATTAGCTTTAGATTTGGAAACATACATTAATACAATACTGTAAAACTATATCAAGGTATGGTTTGAGAGGAGACGGTAAGAATTTGATAACTTAATAATATATAACCTCTATAACGTATCTCCACAGAAGGTAATCAGGTCTTGGAGACTGTAAGCCGGGCTTTTAATTAATTTCTTCAGTAGAAAATAATAATACAGCAAACATTTTCAGGATTCAAATATACACCACGATTTGGTCGAGTATGAACAAGAGAAGCAAGTCGCTGAGATGAGAGAAAAGTCCACTCCGGAAAAGGTAGAACTCAAGTTATTCTTCTGTATTATTTTTTGTTACCAACATGTTTAGTTATTTTGGGCTTAAAAATTAAATTTTGAAACCTCATCTTCATAACTTTTTGCTGTAACCTAGGACGCGCGTCGTCTCCGTGCCGTCGTTCTTGGGAGTTTATCTTAAAAGATAGAAATATAGTGCCGTGTACTTTTTTTAGATAATTCAAAGAGAATTGTTTTCTGAGAATTCTTTGAACTGCTTTCACAGATGATGAGTTCACAATTTTCCCGTTTTATAGCCTTCATTGATAAATGCTCTAACGAACACAAAAATATTTTTTCAATTCGAACCAGTTCCTGAGGTTAACGCGTTCAAACAAACATACTCTTCAACTCTATAATATTAGTATATATCATAATTTTTACCATTGTGTATTGACAAATGAATTATTTTTTCCAGGTAATGGATATTGTGCATGCAGTCGAAAGTATCGCGCTAGAACCAGCTCCACCTATATCTCCGGAGCCCCAACATAAGACCACCACAGTTGTGATGTCGAAGCACACACTGCAGCCTCAGGTCAGTCTTCACTTCTACCCACACACCAACGTTTGATGTACCCTAAGGCGTAGTAAATAGAACTAGACGTATATTTAATTAATTAAAACATTCCGTTTTGTTCTAAATCACTAGGATTATATTTAGAAACCGCGTAGACCATGAATTAATAGGGTTTTAATTAAAACTGACCAAATTAATAGTAATAGTTTTTTTTTTAAATTTTGAAATATTGTTTGATTTCTCCAACTACCCACATATTATTTATAAAGTAGACATATTGCATGACAAGGTAAATTTTAATTTATGAAGTTTAAAATAGTTCTTCATTCACTTGGCTCAGAAAACTGTTCTTATTTTGAGCTATTAATATTAAGCAGGTATTTTTAAAAATGCAGAGTTTTATTGGATTTATTATTAAATATGTAAGCATGAAACTTTTTTATGTAGTCTTGTACTATAGTCCTTAATAACTATTGTTTGTTAAAAAATACTCAATGAACTTGCACGGTGGATTTACAAAACTGTGACGGCATGCACCTTGTAGTTTATGGCTTGCATGAAAATTATCTTTCAGACTCTATTTACTATCTTCCAAAATAAATGTTTTAGCCTATTTAAACGTTGTCCGTAGAATAATGTAAGAAAGGAATTGGTATCTTATTATATGGATATATATTTAGTCGGATTGCTTCAGTGTGTTGCATGTTTCGAAAATACGACATAATAATCAAGCCAACCAAAAAACAACCCTATATAATTGTATCGTAAGGTTTAAAGTTGAGCTAACTGACGATGTTATTACGTCCATTGCAGAACGCATACCCTCAAGGACAGGAGAGAAACACTTAGTAAGCAATAATATTATATTCTCTAGAAACGTGCAGTCCAAAATAATGTAAATATATAACTACGTATTATAACGTGAACTATGAACATTTTATACTTGTAGGTTAAGTTAACACCAAACTCTACGCGCACCGACCCATGTTTATTTGTCGTGGTTTCAAGTTAATGTTTTCTTCATTCCATAAACAGTATCATAGGGTAATAGTCGTGTGCTAGAATGAATATTAAACATAAATGTATGTCTAATTTTAAATTACATCTGCAATGCCTCTCAGTTTACCGTCTAGATTAAGTATTTTAGCCTTAAGTTACTGCGCTAGCGCATTGCAGATTGCTAGATATATTTATCGGCTATGGATTCCTTTCGTTTCACGATTTACTTAATGTGAAGAGTATTCTAGTAGTGCATAATTCCATATTAGACTTTTGAAACCAAAGTACGACCACGTACTTAAATGTTTACTGTCTTTGAAGAATTTACATTATATGCTTTCCGATAACAGGTCGACATATTATATATTTTGATGAAATCGATGTATTTAATTGTACTGAATTGTACCCGCTTTTCTGAGTCTTTTATAAACTACTTCAGTACTGTATTTTTACATATTTTACTCAATACCACCGTGATATTGGACGTGACTGTAAACCAATAAGATAATAATCTACATATATCTGAACGACCAATAGTTTAATGTACCTCAATAATCTTGTAGCTCGGTGTACTCTATATAATGTTTTGGATGCCATTTTGTAGTTTATCCAATTAGTTGACATTTTATCCATTTTATCGACGTGACCAGGAAGGGCACTTTATCTAATTGTATTTTTACTGTACGTACTCGGTCGAAAACATAAAATCCTAGACTAATTTGTATATGTCGTAATACATATAAATTCCCTAGTCATACTACATAATATTTATTTTATATTACGCCTTATATTGTAGTTCCGTGCGCTTCTGTACTTTGTTTCCAACTATAGCTACGCTTCGATAATTAATTTATGGAAATGTTTTCCCAACTCTATTAAGTAGTACTCGTTATATTCAAATATATAAGACGCTATTTCTTATAAGGTTAGTTTTAAAAGATTTTTTCTGTGCAGTGTATGAAAATGCTTTTATTTAGCAGTTTAATTGCGAATCGGACTTTAAATAACATATCAGACTAAAATTTTTGGCCTTCAAATTGTTATTGTTGTTTGTTGAATTTCCAGAAGTTGTATTGCCAAAAAATGACTGCCAATTATTTCAATTGTGTTAATTGGAAGTGACTGGAGAATTAGATGACTATAATTACTTTGTATACAAAATTATTGAAATGGGAATTATTATTATATATTTTAGTGTTGAACTTAAATACACAATGTTTCTGAAACGAGTGTTTTTCTGTTATCTCTTCTCTATCGTTAGTTTGCTTTGTCGCCTTTGAAAACCATTTATTTTGGAAGATTTTCGTTACTCTTTCTATCTTTATTTGACCTTTTTATTACGTATTTCTATAAGCGTTTTCGTGCAAGCTTAGTCGCCAGCAACTTTCTAAAGATACGATCTTGCACTAGAGCTTTCTATTATTGTAATGACGAGTAAAGTGTACATTGTTGGTTTTGGTTAGTCATCTAGTTCGCAAGCGGCGCCGCTTTCACCTCTAGCGGTGTTCACGGAACAAAAGGTGAAGACGCCTCCTCCTCCTGCGAGCCCCGCCACAGATGGAACGTCCGTGGACCCACCGCACCTTCCAACTCCTACGCCTCAACCGATTAAACAGAAACCACAAGTTCCCCGCAAACCGCAAATCAAGCGAGTTAGTTTCACCACGGATTCAAAAGACGTAGACGAAAAGTTGTCGACGAACGAACGAACGAACCCTCAGCCCCTAACGCATGAGTTGCATGAACGCGCCTCGGCCGAATCAGATACTAACGATGCATGCGCGAGAAATAGCCCACTAATACAGCAAACGAAGGTCGAGCTCGATTCAAATCCATCGGACATTGTTCGTCCGGAAGATTTTATAATTCCCCCACCGGCATTATTCGCAACTAAAGTAAGTCAAAGTCAATTAGTTCACGACATAAACGACGTAGTACCGCTAATCGCTGTTGTGCCTGAGCGTATCGTGCTTCCCCAACCGATCGTGCCAGAAACAACCGTGCAGTCGTCAACCTCAACCAACTCGCCAGAAAGTGAAGACCCTCCACCAGTTAACTATACGGCATATCCTCATTTTGACCCATCAGCTAAAATCATCGAAGAGCCATCTAATTCTCTCATATTTTCTGAAGTGCCTTCACAACAAGTCTTCCGTAATGAACTACCCTCATTTGAAAGTGACGAGTATTACACTGAACTTTCCGTTAGTCCCACTGTTGATCCTGGCCCCCCAGAATTATTGCACGCTCAATACAAAACCCTTCCCACAGTCTCGCATGTGCCTAATTCACCTTGTTATTTGCACCCAAATAGAAGCTACTTTGGCGAACTCGCGAATCCTAGTGAGAATCAGTCTTTACGCGATCTGAGGGTAAAAAACTTGCCGTCTATGGTACATTCGACGACGTATCCCCCATATAACCCATATCCATCTTTAACAACGGTAGCGGGAACATATAACCCCTACACCACTACAGTCCCCCCCAGCCAAGCGTCGAGCCAAAAACAACCGTCATCCCCAAAATTAGTGAGTTCAGTAGGCAAGGATATAAATGCTAATCTAACACAAAGTGTCCCAATCGATTTGGTTAACCGTCCTAAGAGTGCACAATCGGAAAGAAGAGTGCATTTCGGCGAAGTGACGAGTGCCCTTGAATCCGATATATTACCGAAAAATTTGGAAGCTATGAGAGAGGGCAGCACTTCGCCCGCATCTAACTTGAAACCCGCATGGAGCAGCAAAATCAAATCCTTCGCCATCGGCGAGGTAATAATTGATGTTCGGCAACTTATCCACCACACAAACACTCAGCTTCTTTTGATTGTGTTCGTCGACAACCCAGCCCGACTTGACTAAACACACATTATTAGATGTACAGTACCCATACCCATTATTTTGTACGGATATTAACTTGCATTTCTTATATTTTGCATGTCTCGTTTATTTACTGACATTCTTAACCTTATTTAATTCATGTAGCATCTTCATGTACTGACTGCATGGGTGTTTTACGCCTGGTGATGGGATTTCATAGATTATAAATATGTCATTGTGCTTTTTCTTCATTATATCAACATTGTCACTATCGATTTTGGTTAGTCAATGTTATTTTCATTTTGATTATCATTTTCTCAGGCTTCCCCACCTCATTCTGGTAATTTTGTGAAACAATCTGTGAGCGATAAGAAAAAGTTTTTCGAGAACGCAATGGAAGAGAGCCATAAGTCTTCACCCAAACCAGGTATTAATATTTGTAAAATATGGCAAACCTTTTTACTATGGCAGTTACTGAAACTACTATGACAGATTCTTTATACGTCTCTCTATATTACAGAGAAAGTATTCGCGTTCCTGTCGGCCGATGAAGTGGAGAAATTGAAGCAAGAAGAGGAAAAGAAAATGGCGACGTTATCTCGTGCTGAGCTCAGCTCGTGGTCCCCTGGGGAGGACCGTAGCGGAGACAGCGAGCATTCAGATGAAGAACCTTACGAGAATGGGCACAGGTAATCTCACTCGAAAACATCACAAAACCTATTTTACGTTGCTGTTAGATCAAATAAAAATTCTCTTAATCAGAAGTATTTTTTAACACGATTATTCTAATATCACATTCTAAAATAATATTAAAGTACCCTCGCTAAACTTAAATCTAACGTTAACTTGCTATCAGCAATTTATGAGTGTATCGTTATTTATTTTTTTTAAATTTATTACGATTACGAAGTCTTCCTACTTAAAAATCTATTTTGCAGCTCTGGATAAGACCAAATGCTCTGTATGTGATGACTCCTAGACTTATTGTAGATAAAATATTATATATTATCCTTTGTAGCGTGTCTATGGGTGGCGTCAGTCCGTCAGCAAAATCACAAAGAAGAAGAGCAGCGCGTGAAAATGCTGAACATGAAGATGCCGAAACACGAGCAGCACGTAGAGCAGCTTGGCGAGCGGCTCGCCTGCGATCACTTGAGAAGGTATCGTCTTGAGACACTTTGGTTAGACTTGATTATTACTCATGTAACAAATACAAAAAAATATCGCGCCTTTATCTTTTAAAGAGTACAGTCTAAAGTACCTGAAATCTGCGCTTAGGACACGCTACGAACGCGAGGACCCAAAATCTATATATATAGTAGTTTTTTGTCTAAAGACTTGACTAGTACTACTAGTAAGTCTACATGTCGTTAATTTATTAGCATCTTCCAAAGGAAAAGATACGAAAGGATATTCTCCTTGCATATTTCTCAAAACATAAAACTCTTGCATTAGGTTCGAGAAGTATTGAGGTAATGGCTTTGAAAGGCTTAAATGATTAACATTTTAGGATGCAATTGAGTCACAAAAAGCAATTAAAAGCATGGTGGGCCCAGCGCATGAGATCATAGGAGAAGTACCTCCGAGGGACACATCTCCTTCAGAGGTAAATTCCACCTTTAAAAATAATCCTGATCGTCCTTACCAAGGATGTACAGATGGAAAGAACAACTTTTTATGATATTATAATTCGTTACCTAGCATTTACTTAATTACTTCAAAATTTTAAATTTAAACACTTTTTAAAGAGAGCCATTCTCACCTTGCTCTTTCCATCTGCGAGATTGAATGTTTCATAACCCTTAACCTAATACATGTTTGTTCTTGTTTAACCATGTCATTAACGTTCAGACGGTCGGTATAGCATTGTATCGCGTACATACATGACTCCACACCTTATACTTCAAGGTTATTTTGCCTGTGGAGATAGCTTCAAGTGAATAGTAAACACCTAACTTAAATCAATGCAAATAGTTCTAATAAATGTGGGCGGGATGTGTCGCTTACGCATTGTGTATGTCTAATCGGGGTGTGTGTGTCATTGGCTTTAAAAATTATAGAAATGGCCCCTGCCACGTATCGCGTTGCGTACAAAACCGGGCCCTATACTGGCCGTGAAGGAGAAGGAAAAGTTGTTAGACGAGAGAATAACGCTACGCACTGAGGAATACGTGTGTCCCGCGACTGGCGAGACTAAAGTACGAACCGTCGAGTACATTGAGAAAGTCATTGAAAAAGAGGTATTGCGATTGTAAATGCTAAACATAGATGGCGCTGTAAACAAACGATGCCGTGTGGTTTAAATGTGTGTATCAGAGCTTAGCTTTCGACGAGCGACGATTTTAACTTAAACAGAAGGGCCTCCACGCAATACTAGGCACAACAGCAACACCATTTTGTAGATATGGAGCACTAGGCTTTCACGGAAGAAACGGTGGCAGAGTTTTTTTGTTGTTGTACATACCGTTTAGTGAAGTAGATAACTGTTTTATCCAATAACTGAGGTCTAACCAAGAAATATTTTTAGTGTCTATGGACACTTATGTTAAGTTGTATTACTAAGGTACAAAATTTACGAAAATGTGGGGAGACCTCCGTTTTTTTGAAAAGCATGGTGTGGCATGGCATGTTATAATAATTTATTTGTGTATTTGTCAGACTATTCCTGGGTTCTAGAGATGGGGACTACACCGTAAAAGTAATGGTTCGTTGCGTTTATTAATTTATAATCAAATCGAGATCATACATTTGATTCTCATACTACTTTACCATAACTGCTTTAATTTCTATTGTTTTTTTTTTCTCTTGTAGATACGAGCGTCTTTGTAGTTTCCATATTTGATGCTTTGCCTGTTCAACGCTTATTAACTGTAGATCTTGTGTAGTGAAATTGTGTAAATTCATTTTCATTACCGACTTGAAACATTACTATACAGATAACTTATCATAAATAAAAGTAATATTTTAGCGTATTTAAAAATTCATATATCCATGAACGAAATCCGGTAACAATATCTCATACAGCGAAACTCAACTGTCATAAAGTGATTATTAACTGATTAAAAGTAACGATCTTCGCAGGTGGAAACAACACAAGAGAAAATCATATCTTTGGAATTAACGACGAGTCCCAGTAGCGAGACGGCGCCCACAGATCTAGATGGGACTGTGATAGGTCTCGGGGAGGGGGAAACGGAGGGAGAACACTCCCTCCAACCTGACATAGTGCAGGTTGTCAACCCCCTGCTTGACGGAGGCGCGGGCCACGTCACAGCCATACCAGTGGGACCTGCGCAGAGGATAACAGCGTACTCCGAACACCAATAGGCAGAAAATCTAGAACTTTTTTATTTTCTTTTCTAATTTTGCTTTATTCCGCAAAATTTACAAAAAGGAAATGCGTAGTAATTATTTATTAGCTCGCAGGCACAGTTCTGGCTAGATATGTGGATGACGTCACACAACAATCGTACAACTCGATTGTATCGGTGTAAGGATCGATTCTCACGACGATCGATCTCGTTTGTAGATTTCTTCAAAACAACGAACGAAATTTATTCTTTCCATCTTCTGTATTATAACTGTGATATAAAATAGAAATTCCACCGATTTATAGAGGCAGAAGAAATCCACTAACGATTTTTATATTTTGCATTTGATTTTCCGATCACAATTTTGTTTTATTTTTATACTATTGTTTCGCGGTGTTTTACGCGACAAGTATCTATTTTGATATTGTACTTTCGATACTTTACGTATTAAAATATTTTCATTCCGTGCAAGTTTTACTGTTTGACTGAATGTTTGCAGTGGTTAATGTGACTTAAGAATAATTGTAGTGTACATACCATCGGCGACACGAAAATTGTAAATTAATCGATAGTTTTAAAATTGGCATCACAGTTTTTTGACTTCTATGTTTCTGTAACTTAGATTATTCTCTTTATCTTTTGTATTGTCTTCAATCGTACAGTATTTGTGTTTTACTGGTGTATTATTAATTTTATCGTAATAGTTATGTATGTGGTGCCTTAATTATTAATGGATTTATTGTAATATAGCGATTTTAACTACGTCAGTTGTATCTCTTATTGATAATAAATTATAGTAGATTCCAATTTTAATTGTTAATATTCAAATAAAATTTTTGCATTTGTATTAGCGATGCCGTAATGTCATTTTTAATATGTTGTACAATTGTCTATTGACTTAATCTCAACAAATTGTATATTTACGTTGATGTCTTTTGGAAGTTATCAAGTAGGTTCTTATTTGAGAGAATTTGCGAATGTGCGAATGGAAATTGTGTGTTCTTTGTATCTTTTTAAAGCTCTTTAGCTACTCGTGGATTGTAAACTAATGGAAATATTGTATGTTTGTCCTATAAATGGTTTAATATATATTTTAATAAAATTATTGCGGTATTTTATTATCTAGAGGTTAACGTGTCATTTTCGGTATAAAATAAGAATATATGTTGTAAAATATTTTATTTAACAATTAGTATACATGAAACATAATTATGAACATTGTAATCATTAATAGTGACTAAATATCTTATCGATAGGGTCGTGTTGGCATCTATTTCTTTGGCGCGATAATTCCCTCCAGTTGTGCCTGCACATATTACATTTGTTGTGAATAGTATTTAGACTTTGATCATACTTTTGTGTTTGCATACCCAGGACCTCTTAGGCAAAACGTTTATTCAATTTAATACAAAGGCAATCAAAAGCGATTTGAGTAAACATAAAATCTATCGGCACTTGTTATAACCGAATATTATCAGAGTTGACCTTATATCTAATAGCTATTAATGTTTTTTTCTCCACCTAATCCTACTTAGCCACATCAAAGTCTAAACCCACCTTCAATTGAGCGTTAGTCTTCTTTAACGCGAGCAGTTCCTCTTGATGACGTTTCTCTTCCGCTGCGCGAAGCTCAGCTGCTCGTCTCTCCAACTGTTCAGTCTTCTGTTTCAATTCAGTGCACAGCTTTTCCAGGGACGATCGTTCTGCTTCAAGTTTCGCTACTTGATCCATGAGGTCAGATTTACCTTGCTCAGACTAAGAAAGAAGTATTTAGTAAAGCTGAGCAATAAAATTGAACCTTGCTATTGACAGTATCCACCATAAATATTTGGAAAGTTTAAAAACTGTCTATAGTTTACGCGAGTAGTACACATTTAAATAAAACAATTTAACGGTTTAAAACGCGATATATTAGTTAAACTTATTTGAAGTCTCCCCGTGACTTCCGAAACATCAAGCCGAAGTTAAAAATCATTTTCAAATAAATTTAACTAATATATCGCGTTTTAAACCGTTAAAGTGTTTTATTTAAATTTGGAAAGTTTGCCAATGACGGCTTTTGTTAATAAGCCGCGTACATTTTTATTACTACCGTGTCTTGTGCTGGCATTTATGACACCTTATTAAGGCAATAAACTCATTACTCCTGCAATATTACATCATCAACTCAACAAGATGCTGTAGACCTATTTTCGCTTTGGATATTCGGAAATCCAGACACAAATCGTCACGCGATTAAACTTAACGGCTTTTCATTTGTGGACGGTGAATCATTACCCGGGTGGAATATCGATATTCCTACAAACCATTTAAAATCCAGATTAACCAAGCGAAGTGCACCGTTTTTCAGAAAAAGTAAATATTGATTAGAAACATGTGGGTTGGCGCGATCCCCACCGAACCACCATTACATTACTACCGCCCACTACCATTACACCAACGAGCCATATAAGTAACGATTCAAACCTGCAGGGCTTTCCTCATGCCAAAAGCGATAGAACTGCAATATAGCGTCTGGTACGCCTCCATAGTAATCCTGGCCTCATCACGCACACGTAGTAGGAGGAGGCCTCTTTCACCACAATTTATCGTCACCTATAATCGTCATCATTTATTGTGCCCGTGTATTTTTTATTTAAGAACAGAAACATAAAAAAGTATGACACTCAATAATAACGATTAGCAGCAATAAATATAAATATATTGTTGTGTTGTTGTTGTGTCACGCTTTTTACTTAAGGTACAAAAGGGGGGATTTATCGGGGGGTTTATATGATTAAAACAGTATATCACGCCAGATCAAGTCTTATAAATTTTATATGTAAAAAATGTAAAAATTGTTTATAGCTTTATCTTACACGGCTTCTTGAGCATTTTACTTGTAATTTTTTTAATACACTTTTATTTGTAAGTTTTTTATATCATTAAATTAAGGAATCCAATAAATAGTGCTAGTTTGGTACACCACAAAAGGCTGATCACGTTTCTTTATAAATATTAATAAATAAAACATAAAAATAAATGTTTTATCACTATATCAATAGATGAGAAGTGGTCTCGGAATGAAGCTATTTGACTTTCACATACATAACTACATGTATAATATAACCTGCCGAATGAGCTCATCAAAGCATTGCGTGTATAGCTGCCTCCTCACGGGACATATTCCTGTTTCACGAGCTTGTCGTTGTTGCAAACGTGTGTCCAGCATTTCTTGTAAATTGATTACATCCAACCTCGTTGCTGGCGTTGAGGATATCTAAGCCAAAAATTGTCTGTACAATTTAGGTTCTGAAGGCACAAAAATCCAACATCAATTCGTGCAGGTACTTATGGCGAGGTCAGGTCTATGAATATAATACATGCCTTGTATCTATGTAAATATATATGCCCAGGTACTTATATCAATGAAAAATATATTTTTTGGCGGTTTATGATAAGTAACGATTCAAACACTTTTACCTTCTGAGTCCATATCTGACCGTCTTCCTCCCATTCCTTGGGAGGTAGAATAGCATTTAATATCTCCTCAGTTTCCCGTTTTGCTTCAGTCGGAACACATGGTTGAGCAGCTGTGCTGATACTCGGTGCTGACTATATAAAATATTATTGACTACATCATTTCATTATGTCGTTTAAAAATATTAATTTTCATGTAAGTATACTATGTTATTTAGCCCAAAGTTACAAAGTGTATATTTTATATCCAAATAATTATAAAAAAGTTTGTAGTACATACCTAATATAACATTTTTTGCGTTAGTTTAAGAGTTGTCCACCGGAGTGAATTGATAGATGATTTAGTATCGGGGACGTGTGGATACTTACAGGTTTTTCAGGCTGCTTAGTCACCAAAACGGGATTATCATAACGCACTAGAGTATCTTCCGCAGACACTGGTGCTCTTTCACCCATTTTTATGGTCGCTGAATTAGGTTGCAAATATTTCTTTTGAGGTGTTTGTAAACAATTCCTGTTGTCATGGTAACACTGCACGACTTGATATAGGTAGAAAAGTTTCGTATCTATGTTCAGGGGACAGGGATGATATTGAGATTTCATTTAAGATGTATATATAATTTTATTTCTACAGTAGATATTATGTTATTACATGACTACATGATGATGTTACACGAAAAAAAAGTAAGTTATGCCTAAAAGTTATTATTTTGTACTGTTAATTTCTAAAAAAAATATATTTAGGCATTTGGCAATACTTGCGTCTGTATGTGATCTTATAACAAGTTGACTAAATCTACTGCCTTAAAAAGTCTTAGGTAGTCTAATTTAGTAAGTTGTTATGAAACTTAAAGGACCCCCTTTTTTGAATTGAAAATTGAGTAGAACACGGTGACTTTTAGTTACGTTAGAACAACAGCACGCTGTGGATGCCGATTAAAGTCCTGCCCGTGTCGTTATTTTTTTTTTTGTTATAAATAAAACACAAATGACAAATAAGAAAACATTTACTCCATTCACCCAATTGCACTGTTATTTCACATAACAAATGAACTTAAGAAGTTCAATTAAAGCTACACTTCATACATTCTTAAGCTATTGAGAATCACTGCTAGAACTAGAGCTAGAGTCTGTAGACATGACTTCAACGTCCTCCTGCGCAGGAGCATCTTTCCCACGGCCATCAATAGCCACAGAGTTACCACCGCCAACTGACATATGCAACTCACCTGAAGGGTGCCATGTGAACTGATTTGTAGCAGAGGCAGGCACTGAAAAGAAACAATGACATTGTTAAAAAATATATACTTAATGTACGACCGCCTTATGTCAAATGGTTAAACGTATTCCCTAGCATTGCGTTAAGCGCGAGAGGTTCTGGGTTCGAATGCCAGGGAAACAAAAAAAAGTTTAGGTCGGGCAGAGCACAGAAGTCTCATCAACTACTTGCCTGTTTATAGAACGGATCAGTGAAACGAACACAAAAATGTGTTCGCCCCGAGGGGGAAACGGGATTTCACTACTACACATTTATTATACTTAATAAATAACGCACAATTATTATACTTAATAAATAATGCTGAAGAGTTTGTTCGAACGCGCTAATCTCAGGAACGACTGAGGTAGGTTTGCAAAAACAAATTTAGATGCCAAAAATAACATGTCTACTAGGACGAAGTAGGTAACACAGCTAGTCTCAAATATGTGAAAGTCCGAAGCTTCATTCCGAGACCACTTCTCATCTTGTTTTGGTGATAAAACATTTCTATGTATGTTTTATTTATTAATATTCATAAAGAATGGTGATCAGCCTACTGTGCTGTACCAAACCAGCACTATTTATTGGATTTCTTAATTTAATGACAAAGCAACTTATTTACTACAAAGGACTGAGGTAGACTGAATGACAGTCACAGTAGGTCTAGATAGTTTTTTTATAGCTAACATGACATTAAAAAGTAAATATATCAATTGATTCATTTCTTCTTGCTGTATTACAAAGCAAAAGATAACTTAGCATACATTTCCCTTATACTTAAACAAAGCTATTAATGAATATGATAAGACTTTAGTTTACACAAGTAATTAGACTTACCTCCGCCAGTAGTAATTCTGTGTAGGTCGTTAAGAGTGGACGGTGCATGACCGTTTAGGGGAAGATCACAGAGTCGGCCAAGCATTCCAAGTCTCATCTCAAGGTCTGTTGGGTATGGTCTCCGAGGATCACCGGGCTGCCAAGAGAGAGGTGCACTGACTGCATTTGATGCACTTATCCTGTTGAATAGTTATCATGTGTAAGTGGGTAGATTCTCTTTGTTTTACTAAGTGATAGAGTGTGTTCCAAGCATAATTAATCGTGACTAGAAGTAACCAAAGATTCAGATTTTGCATGCACTTATTTAATTTTATTTTATGACTGTAAAAATGTTGAAACTTACCTATGTGCAAACTTAATTAACTCCTCAGACGGCACAGGTCTTTTTCTGGACTTTACTATTGATGCAAGTTTCTGTCTTGCTTGATATAATGATGTGGCCAAAATTTGTTCGGCATCTTTAAGTTGCCGTTGAAGAAGAGAAATATCTTGATCCTAAAATACATAGTATGAGAATATATGCATAGTATAGGCATTTTTATATTCACGAACTATGCAGTAATGAATTTTTACCTTATTATAAACTTCAGCTTTTAGTTCATTCATTTTTTCCTGAATTTTGGCTTGTTCATCAGCCAATTCTAAAGTTTTCTTTAGTTCTGCATCCTTCGACAGCAGTAACTCTGTGAGTTGAGCATGATCAGCAGCTGATAGTTTCTGTGGTTTTGGTGCTATAGCTACTTCAATTATCTCTCTATAAAATTAAAAAATATATATCTAATATACAGTTTGTACTAAGACATGATATTTATGCATTATTAATGAGATTTATGTTGTTAGTGTATGATAACACTTTGTATGCTTTTAACTTGGTAAGCAGTGGTTCAAAGCTACTTATAGTTGACCTAAAATTATAATTGTGAAAACAAATGCAAGTTTAATTATTATCCTTTAAAATGACAATATTAACTATATATTCATATATTGGTTTACAATCATTCTCAAAGAATTTAATTAAACTGGTAAAACTTACTTTGCTATTAGTTCTATATCATCGATCAACGACAACAAACGGTCTCGGGTACTCAAATGTGAAGCCATTAGAATGATACAATATTAAATTAAGTTTCCAACACTTCTGCACTTATTAGGTGGGTTTCAAACGCATAAAATCATTGTTTTAAGAAAGATAAGTACGAAGTTAAGATAAGTTTTGTACACGAAATGTTTAAAGAAAAATCATTAGTGTTTTGACTTTTGAAACAAAAGCGAAACGTCAGGTGTCACTTTTGATATTTGACAACTGACTTACATAAACTGCGATAATTTTTTATTATGTTTGAAGTAAATCAGGGTAAATTAAATTTATTATAAAACAATAGTTTTTAGTTAGGTCAAGTTAATATTACTCTAAAGTCCACCAAACAATGCTTAATCTTGAAAAATATATCAGACGCGATTTTTTTCTCGATATAGCCATGAAAACCTTCGATTACAAGTAAATATATTTTTTTTAGAGATATCAAACAATACTATTTTAATCCGTCAACAAATTACTACAGAGTCATTTAAATTTGTAAACATAAGCAATTAAATATTAAACTTAAAATTACACACATTATAACTAGCAATTAGCGACATCATATGGCGCGATGACTAAACCGTAACGTTGTATTTGTTTACGTACCTTATTTATACAAATTGCTACTAATGCGAGTACATAATAATATTATAGACTTTACTCTGTAGTACGCATACAATTAATAAATTAATGGCTTAGAAATCATAATTGGTAATTCAGGATTATTAGCGTTTAATTGATTTTGAATGACAAACGGAACCGTAAGGAGAACTAATTAATTTTAAGTAGGTACAAGTTACAATCAGGAGACGTATTTATTGAGACGCTTTATAAACAGGCGTTACAATATTGTTTTTTTTTCGTGAATAAAGGGTAGGTAAGCAAATTGTATTATTATAAAGATGTCGTTACACTAGTCGAGAGAAACAAAGCAGAGAATAACGGAAATTGAAAAGTTGTGTTGTGGGTAGAAGTTTGACTTGTGCTTTGAGTATCATAAATATAAATAATATATGAGTGACTCAGATATATAAATAGTAATGGTTCAGCATAAAAGGTACAAAATCGCGAACTGGTTAAGTAGGTACGCAGATCGAATTACGTACGTAATCGAATTGCATCCACTACCTGCTGACGAATGTCTTACTATTACCGTGATCATGAAGCCAGTGCGTGATCCTCGGTACCATATTCATGAGCAAGGTGCTATAAGCGAGGAGAGGGGATCTACGATCACGCTGTGAGCATGCGCGCACCACGTGCTCGCGAGCCTTTATTATTGATACACAATTATAGCGGCAAAGGATTTATTTATTAATTGCCGATTTCTATAATAGTAGTTTTAGGATATTTATAGCATTCATTTAAACATTAAGTAAAATGGTATTATATTCATAACGGTAGTTTTAAAAAAACCACTAGAGTAATTAGCTTTTTTTAATATTTTATAGAGAGTTATTGTCCACGATGTCTTTGACAGTGACGATATCTTCAAAACTCTAATCGAACAAATATTTCGTTCTGATTTATAGTTCCTATTGTTATGATACCAGTGACACCTTAAAAATCTGTTTTTCATATTTAAAACAAACAGCTGATTTTAGAAATGTTTAGCTTTGCACGCTAATAACGGCTCGCGATCATAACATTGCCACAGAATAAAAAAATCTAATAATAAACCTAATTCTCCTTAGTTGCATTATTCATTTTTCTTAGAAAAATTGTATTAATATGGCAGTAAATTATTGTTCTTTCAAAGATTAGTCACCACTGTTGCTAAATTACACGTTCTTTTACAATAAATTTTGACTTGTTATCGATTATTTGTAAATTTTACTTTTATTTGTCTGCTCTGTGGCTCATAGCTGTATGAAGGGCAGCGGGACGGGAGGGTCGCGAGCATTCGATCGTGCAGCGAAATAGTTCCAGTGCAAGTTTGGCAGTGGAGGTGAACTTGGCTCTTCTGCCAATCTAATGGAACATCGTTCCCTCGAACAAGTATCGGCCGCGATTTTAAACAAGTCTAACATACGCCGCGACTTTTGCCGCAAGCAACAAATCCTGTTGCTTCTACTATGTTGTTTAAACGGATCATCGAAGGAAAGTCGGTGTTGAACGCCGAGGTTAAAAAGGATAAGTCTCCAGAGAAATGTTCTAGAAGGAAATCGGAATGCGACGGTTGTGGAGAACACTCCACGTAAGTTTGAGATTTTCCAGAATCAATGTTAAATTTTATGACACATTTATTAAAATTTATAAATAACCAACGATCTAAATATAAACTCATCACTTGAAATATAATAATAACACACTAACAATGTATGCCAAGTTAAACTTGAGTCCATACGAGTTATTAGTTACCTCGCTAGTGGAAAGTTTTTAAGTCCGTTGCTTATGCTAAGGTAGACAATACATAGGTGGACTGCAAGTTTCTGTTGACTAATTTTGTTTTTAGACTTCAATTAGTACTTTTATTATGCACTCTTACACTGTCGTTATTATAAGGACGAAAAGCTAACATACGTTTTTCTTGAATACAAATAAAATGTTACTGTTATATTACAGTTATGTTAATTTTTAGTAATTAAAACCGTCGGGTCTTTTTTAAAAATTAACCACGTAATGGTCGGGTTGTTCGATTTTAAACTACATATATAAACGGTTGTGTTTATTTTTCATATCTTTAGAATTATATTATTTTGCTGATAAAATCTGCTCTTGACCTAAAACATGTTTTCTTAAAATGTTACTATCAGAATTACATATTAATCACAAATAATTGATTGACAGCCTAAATATCTACATTAATCTGTTATCTATGAACTATTGAACAAGTTAAATACCTATTAAGTTTTAAGTAGGTAAGTATGGACTTTAGGCAGACGCAAAGTTGTAATCAAAAAAGTTGATTCAAGTTGCGATTAGTATATAAAACTTTATAACAAGGTGTTTTAAAACTTTAATAAAGACATAGAAAACATGGATACATTAAGATTCTTGGATATTTTTTTCGGCCATAAGAAGTTTCAATGAAAAACTTTAAACTCGAGGTTGTCGACTATTCGCTTTGCATTCTCACGATTTTGTTTCTTTCATGTAAAAATATTAGTTGTATTGATAAAGAAACACACTCTACTCAGAATAGTGTTCACAACTACTGTAATATGTATTTAATTATTATATATTATTATTGGTCGTCATTTTAGTTTTTAGTAAAAAATAGATACCTTAAATATCACCGAAATCACCTAATAACTGACGAATTTATGTGCGAACAAACATAAAAAACGTACCTACGTATAGGTATACAAATCGAATTGAGTGATTGAAGTCGCTTAAAAATGCAACAGCAACAAAACAGCAAGAGTAAAAAAAGCAGTAAACATAGAACAGCGACACGGCTTTCTAGAAGTTCCATGTAACCCAAAACATTACAGGAAGAGACATGTTAACAATGCTCTCTGTAATGTAGACGTTTAACAACAAAGACTGCAAAGACATAATATCACATTACGACGTGTACGATTGTTTTAATACAGACATGTGCAAATTGAGACGCCTAGTGTCAACTTAAACTCGAAAATCTAGACTTGACCCCCCCCCCATTAAAAACAAATCAAACTTTATATATACACATGTACACTAATAGGAATACTATTTATAATAAACATGCTTAACATCTAGTAAAGCACAATCAAACAATATTTTTCACATCGTTAGTGTAACACCCGTAAGTAGATTTAACGTCAGATCACATACGTTTTTCCAATACACCTATTTTAATGCATTGTTCTTAGAACTTTGACGCAGTTACACGATAATGATTATGGATAGTATTGTTTATGAACTCATTCGCGGCAAGAGCAATTAACAATATGTTATCGAATTGAAGTTTGGGAGGCTCGTCTGCCAATATCCCTCATATCATCATATGCGACGTCATTACTGACAACGGCTTGAGGTCAACATATCAGAGGTCCGGCCAGATACCCTCTTGAAATAAGATTCTTATAACGTACGCGTCAATAGAATATTACTCAGTTTTGTCTTATACTTCAAATCAATCGAATGAGTTTGGTCAAAGTTTTCAAAGTGTTAGTTTCATAGATTTGTTATAGAAGTTTAAACACAAATTACATAATAGGAAATCCGTTTGCAGTATTCTGGAGGAACTGATGAAGATGGTACTGCTCGGCGTCGTGCTATGGGCGGGAGTGACTTTCGGGAGTCATGTTGCTCCTTACCCTTTGAATTTGATTGTTACTACAGGTAGGTATCGAGGTCCCATCGAATCGCTACTGACAAAGTGCTACTCTCAAGTATTCATAGATAATACTTAGTTATCTTCTTCCAGAATTCTACCATCCACCTCCGATGTACGACTTCCCTTTTCCAAGTGCTCAAATGCTCAAGAGACTGCCGCCTATAACATCAGCTAACACCAACAAGTCGATCAGTATTAGCAAGATGACGGTGGCGATGCTTGAACGCTTGGAAGAGAACTTGGAGGTGTCAGGGATAAAGCCGAAACAAGGTTCCGCAGCGCAGGGTCTCGCGATAAGCGGGTATCCTTCTAATGACGCCATGAAATACGAAAAGTCATCTATGACCATCACGAAAGCTTCTCAAAATCTTGTTTGGACTCGTTGCACAAGGTTAGTGAGATCGATGACTTAAATATATTAAATAGAATTCAGTTAACCGTCCCAAGAAAAAGTTCAGACTAACATCACTTAGAATTAATTTATCTTCATACACCAAAAACTAACTTAATAGGTCGAAACTCTCTATTATACCGTGTGTATAACCGGGGCTGATTCTTTACTTTGATTGCATAACATGTTTTAAAGTCAAATTATTGCGACTATACACACTTTACTATAATAATAAGTTAGATTTCTGTTCTCTTAAATATTTTTAATACTAATATTAAATTGTTGTGTATATCAGTAATTAGGTCCTACATAGGTTTTTTAATTTATTATAATGTAAGTAATCTATTGATGTACCATAATAAATAGTATTTATTCAGAATTGCTCTAGTTCTCGTTATTTTGGAATTGATTACTTTGATAGTACTCCGAACTTCGGTTACTTATTTTAAGTTTTCCATTTAGATACGGTTTGGCGAATGACGAGTGTGCGAGCTTCATAAGTACTCTAAACTTGCGCGAGAGTGAATTTGGTGGCGAGTGTGCTCAGTTAGAAAGGTTTACGTGTCGCACAAACAAGATGTCATCTCGTTACCGCACTTTCGACGGTTCCTGTAATAACCCTGTGCGTTCTTCATGGGGCCAGGCTCTTACTGGCTACAAACGGCTCCTTCATCCAAGATATGCAGATGGTATAGAGGAGGTAAGACCTAATTTAAATAAAGTTAATATTGATTCAAATAATTATTACAATATGTATAATCTCGTAGATTTACGTGAGAAAAAACTTATGACTAAATTGGAATTTTACACCATTATCTAATACTAATAATATACCATTATCAATATTGAATAACTATTGGAAGCTCTAAAACCATTAATACAATTATTTTTTATCTATCTTTTATTTTCATCTACTTTTTTAAATAATTTGGAACTTCATTTCAAATACTGTCGGTAGTTTACGCGAGCAGTACACATTTAAATCAGACACTTTAACGGTTTAAAACGCAGAATATATAAACTTCGGCCCCTAGTTTAAGTTGATTTTATTTTTCAGCCGCGTAAAGCCTTGAGTCACAAGGATTTGCCCTCAGCTCGTCTTGTTAGCACTAGGCTGGCTGATAATTTGGATGTGCCCAATGAAAAGAAGACCATAGCGTTGGCTGTCTGGAGTCAGTTCGTCTATCACGACCTGGTTCATACTCCAATAAGGAAAACAAGTAAGTATTTTCATTGATGGATTATATTTTTTGTTTATTTTCGTTAAAGAAAGATAAACATTTTATTGTTTTGATTTGATAAAAGTTCTGAATAAAATTGTTTGGTGATGTAAAAAAGAAAGGCAGTTCATTGCTTATGTAAATTTTAATATTTTTTACATTTGCACAACATTATATAATTTAAAAATCGTATGTATTCAAATTGAACATTTAGTGATTTTTCAGTTTAGTACCTACTTGTATTATATTTAAAAATTCGAATATTAATTTAAAAGTATCAACTGCATAAGTTAGTTCTAAAATATATAAATGTGTGTGAAAGAGATCACAAGATAGAGAGATAAGGCTACCTGAATGATAAATATCATAGTATCTTTATTATTGTCTCTGTTGTATAATAAGTAAATATAATAATACCAGGGTTTTTCCTAATAATACGGCGTGGGATAATTTTCAGGAACTATCGTTAACCCTTAACAATCCTCTTCACAGTTCATACGGACCAAACCATCAGATGTTGCGACACCTCTGGCCTGCATCTCACTCCGCGATACCTGCATCCCAGCTGTATGCCTATTTCAGTGCCCGATCAAGATCCAGTTTTCAAAGAGAAGTACGTCACCTGTATGGAGTACACGAGGTCGGTGACAACTTACAGAGGAGATTGCACCTTCGGAGCTGCGGAACAGGTATTTTTTGATAATCACACTTTCTAAATTCAAATTTATTTTAAACTATTAGTTCGAGTTATATAGGTGCTATCAAAACAAATCGACATATTATATTACGATGCAATTTAGTAATATATAACACGTTTATAGGACCGCATCTTCAGTCTAATGTTTAAACGTGTTCTCAAATATTGCGATAATCTCGATAGGTACTGGGTTCGAACCCCAGCGAAAAATAGATAAATTCGGTCGCTCAGGGCACAGAAGTCTGATTAACTATCTGCCTGCAAACAAAGTCGATCAGTGAAACAGACACAGATATGTGTTCGCCTCATGCCCACTACTTTATGTACACATGAAGTAGCTGGCTTCTTTCGTACGTTTTATGGCTAAACTAACAAATATACGGATTCTAATCCAAGCAAGCACACAAAACGCATTCCAAATAGTTTTTTTGCTCCTCTTTCTTGCATAATGTTTCTTCAATTATCATTATTTGCTTATTTTAGTCCCAGACAATTTGTATCATTCATTATCATTTTGCGGTATGAAATATGTTGACAAACAGTCTTACGTCAGTATTGTTTACTGCACTATGTCGTTTGTTTTTCTAATATTTAAATTTAATTAAACGCAAGTGCGCAGTTGAAAACAATTGAGTACTATCAATAGTTATTATAAGTATTGACAGATTAACTTGTTAATTAATCTTAAGCAACAACTGTAAAACATTTTTACATATATGTCACGACTTCGTCCGCGTAGTATTTGGATGTTTTGGGTATCCAAATTTCTTTTAGCAAACCTCTATATCTTTATAAATTTATGCTGCCCACGACATCCGTCGCGTCCTGTCCCTCGCGACTTGTCGTGCGGGTCCCGCCATTCTTGCAAGTTAATCTTAAAAGATAGATATATAGTTTCGCGGGCATTTTTTCAGGTTGTTTAAAGAGGAATCATTTCTCCATACATATTTTCTGGGTGTCTTGAACGCAGCGTACGCATCAGAGATAAAAAAAATCCCCCGGTCCATTTCCCTTATACTTCTATAGTCACATCGCAATGTCTATAACCTTCCCGATGGATGCTCTAACCAACCAATTCGAACCCGTACTTCCTGAGCTTAGCGCGTTCAAACAAACTCTTTACCGTTACAAATGAGTATAGATATAAATAAAATGAACTAACTACACAAATAATAAACCATGGAGAATCATAAGGAAAGTCAACTTTAATACTTCGTAAAATATAAACAATAAATTCATTGTCATTAACGAAGTAATAGTTAGGGACAACTAGATTAATTTTTATTGCGGATCATTACTGAAGGCCGTTTCAATTGTCTTTAGAATTGTTTCGGTTTAAAGTCTTAGTCATTACTGTATGTACCAAATATTTGTACAAGTATATAATTCACGTATAAAATACTGTCAATATTTTAAACTAGCTGTGCCAGCGACTTCGTCCGCTAAGAATGTTTATTTTGAAAATTCGTTTTATATACTTAAGCTGTTACCAGATGTTTCGTGTTCTAAATTATTAAAATAATATCACTAGTTAAAATAATTAAAAAAAGTTTTTTAAAATGATAAAAATTTTTGAGTATTTATAAATATAGTATACTAATAATTATTATATAGTAAAGTTCTAGAGCCTTTTTAATGACCTAATTTTTATTATTGTACATAAGTTTTTTTTAGTTAGTTGTGTTTTCTTTAGGTAATATGAAATTTTGGGGAATTTTTTTTATTTTTTTTTCGATTTTTTTTTTAATAAGTTATTAGAGTTTGAATCTTAGTATTATGGCGATTTTAAAAACATATAATTTAATATTTTTGAGTTAGTGATTTTTATCTAGGGTCATATAGGTCGTGGATTTTTTTTTAGTTCATTTAAAGAGGAATAATTTTTCCTAATATTTTTAGTTATTTGAAGTTTTCCAGTAAACAAAAAAATGAAAAATTTAAGTTTTTTCATTTACTTACCTTATTTTTCTATTATCAACATGATATAGCCTATAGCCTTCTCACAATTGTTCTAACCAAACAAAAAGAATTTTTCAATTGAACCCTAGTTTCTGAGATCAGTTCAAACAAAAAACAAACTTTCAGTTATATTAGTATATAGATTATTTGTATATATATTTAATTCTAGTGTTATTAGAAAGTTGTATCGCTACGTTATATTACTTATAAAAACTTACAAGTACAAAAGATAATAAAAAAAAGTACTATTATTTTTTATTTTTTAACTTAATATTTATACAAATAAGTGTAGGGTTTAATTTCTTTGTTTGTTGCATAAATATTAAATAACTAGCTGTAGGGCGACTTCGTCCGCGTAGAATATTATTTAGGCCATCGAAATTTGCAAATATATCTTTTTAATCCACGACATCGTCCGCGTCCCGTCGTTCTTCGAGTCAGGCAGAATCGATCATTGCTTGACTCCTAATGGACGCAGCGTGATCTTTTATAGCCTAAAGCCTCCCTTGATAAGTGCTCTAATCAACAATGTTTTTTTTTCAATTACTACTGGTAGTTAATAAGATTAGCGCGTTAAAACAAACAAATTCTGCAGCTTTATAATATAGATAACAGTTCATTACTATATTCGTTTATCTGAACTGATTCGTTCAGATTTTTGACGCCAGTCCCCCAAGGTTCGCTAAGTTAGATGCGCACGAGTTTAATAGAATCTAGATGAACCAGTTGCATCTAAAAATAACCCCCCTCGTTCGCTGCAAGTAATCAACATCGCATGCAATAGTCACGAATGGATCGCGTGGAATGAAGGCTATTGTTGTAATTATGTTGTTTACTGTTAATTCTATGTGGTACCCTTGAAAATTTGTTGTATTGTCTAATGCTCCTTTTTTTCTAATAAAAGACTTACTATTTTCTATTGTTAATTTTTTGTATAAAGAATGGAACAGTTGCTATATAAAGTTGCATATTAAAGCTCAATTTTTCCTTTCAATCTTCTTTTTAAAATATCACACTGAAGAATCTAGTTCTGAAACTTTTTAAGGATAGGTTTTTTAACCACCACCATCCAACACTTTGACCCAGGATTATCTTGTAAATTCTTCATTTTCAATTTGCTGTAACTGGGACACAAATGTTTATTCCACCACTGTGGCTATCTCTTATGCATAGGAACTACAATATTACATTTTATTTCGCAATGACCAAATGGCAGTTACGATCAGTTCACTAGTCTTGTTATAAATATTGAGATTTACGATCTGTCTATAAACGAGTTATATAGAGTTACAGAACAATTTTATGGTCTATAAGTTTTTATAACAATTAGTGCAACGGTAATAATCTATATCCGTCTTGTAGTAATCGTTCAATGAATTCAGTAATTTAAACCAGTTTGTACGGATAACATTACTTACGTCAACAATACGCGATGCATGGTATTGAGTTTTTACATTTACGTAGCTTGGTTAATATCTTTTAAAAGATATATACGGTGTAACATTTATACTCTAGTAACTATATACTTTGCTTGTTTTATCATAGAAGAGACTAATAAGCATGGGACTCATTTGTTGGAAGGTGAAATTACACAGCTATATAACATTTTGACAAGATGTGTAGCCGACCTATTTAAGATTTTGATATTCGGAAATCCATAGACTGCACGGGCTTTTTCATCTGTGGATGGTGGTTCGAGACCTGGACGGAATTAAATGAGACTTTACTCATTTATACTTATCATTTTAAACAAGAATTATAAAAAATACGTTTTTTTTTATAATTTTGTTTAGATTGGCCTCAAAGCATATACCGTATAACAATGATTTTAAAAGAATTGTCAATTACTATGTTTCTGAGTAATTCTTAAGTCTTCAATACAATATAGTAACTTTGTTTAAAAAAATACTAATCTAATGAACCTATCAACAGATGAACCAAGCTACGCATTTTCTGGACGGATCCCACATCTACGGTTCAAACAGTCGTGATGCAGCCGCCTTAAGGGAAAAGACTGGTGGCCTGCTGAAGACATCCAATATTGATGACGAGGAGTTGTTGCCCTTGGTAGCAAACCCATCAGAAAAGTGCCTCGTTAATCGCAATGACGCTGCTTGCTTTAACACGGGTAAGTTGTATAAAAATCACATCGACAGGATTTGAACCACCACCCTCAGTGTTCCGTGCAGATGCTCTAACCAAATAAGCTACATTATCTTACACGTCAACGTCAATGTTTTCAAACTATTATTATAGCAAATCTAAATAGATTTTTTATTAATAACATGCCTTCTTGTGCAATAACATGTGATAAATATTAGTTTTTAAACGGATAAGTTGTATTTAGAAATATAAAACGGATAACACATGATCATATGTTTTACCTATTAGCCATGTTTTGTCTCTTTCATACAAACATAAAATCGCTTTTGTGTGACCAAGACAACAAATAGCCCTTTTTCCAAGTGTATGTTTGTAATCATCAAGGTGCTGATTTATATGACCTTACTTAACAATTCTATTTACCTACTGTTATGTGGTTAGCGCGAGACGTGTTTTGTGTATACCTAAATAAATATGTATAAGAAAATATATAACTAATATGTTTGTCCCATTTTTATGCGAAAATTTCAAAATAATATGACTGAAGTATAATGTTATTCAAAGTCATCATAATTTATAATTCTTATTATCTTTAAACATAAGAAGTGTCGACGTTCCTAAAATATTTAGCAAATTATTATTTGTTTGGAATTCAGTTCAATGACTCTGTTTCAGTATTAGCAAAATGTAAATATTATGTGGATTCAACGCAAGGTCAGATAGAAATAATATTGTCTTTACAAAGATATATTATTTCAAGATTGAAATTAGCTATTCACAGAACACAAAGTACACCCGTATTAATTCTTCTTTGTGTTAGTAGAAGATAATCATTAGATGTAGGAATGAGGATTAGGCACTGTACGGGGCCCACACAATTTAGATATGTCGTCGACCTATACTTGGGACGATTAGCTTATAGCTAAAAATATCATGTCTGTGGCATGTGTTCTTAACACAATATAAATATTGTGTAATATTTACTAGTTTATTCTCCAAATTCATCAAAGTAACGTCGATTTCTTTGGCAATAGTTTTTCCTATCTCTCTTAAGAATAATTTTCGTACATAATATTTAATTTAAATACAAATCTTTTTCATATACTATTTTATTATGGAACCAAATGCATACAAGAAAATATTGTACGTGTGTACCATATACCGCCTTATATGTTCTCCATACCTATTATCAACATTTTTTTGGCAGGAGACGTCCGTGCCAACATGCACCCATGGCTGACTGCGATCCATGCCCTGTTCGTTCGGGAGCATAACCGTATAGCCAGAAACCTAGCTAACCTAAACCCTGGCTGGAATTCAGACAAATTGTACCACGAAGCCAGAAGAATCGTGGTGGCTGAACTTCAACATATTACTTATAAATACTGGCTGCCTGCTCTTACTGGTATGTATTATTCGTTTTTTTAGATTTGCATATTCAGGGTAAGATGCACCATTTTTAGCTTAATGCATTTTATGTCAACTAGCTATGTCAGCGACTTCGTCCACGTAGAATAGTTATTTTGGTCGTCCAAATTTGTTTTTGCAAACCTCTTCATTTTATAATTTTAGGCTGTTACCCACAACGTCGGTCGCGTCACGTCAGTTAATCTGAAACGATAGACATATAGTGTCGCAGATAGTTTATTAAATAATATAGAGATGAATCATACACATTTTTTGAGTATCTCGAACCGTTTTCGCAGCGTACGATCGGAAATTCACAAAAATGAACAGTCTTCCCCGTTTTATCTACATTTCCCGCGGTTTATTCGCTCCTAGTAGTCATCTACCCAATACAAAAATTATTATGTGTAGGTTAGACCATTTATTCAATTCGAACCAGTAGTTCGTTTTGCATGCTAATGCGTGTTTGTTAAAACAAAGTCTTCAGCTTCATATATTACTAATATACGTAGATTGGATTAGTTTGATGACATATCATTTAGGATTAAATAGAGAAATTTTAAGATAATCAATCTACTTTCGTGAATCCTAAAATGTCTCTCATAATTTCAGCATGGCTTTTTATTTATTTCTCAAGAAAAAAAATATTTTCACGTTTTTGTAAACAATTTTTATCCAACTAATTATAATACTGTTTTTATGTTGTTATTGTCAGCTAATTGAACTATTGCTCAACACTTTTAATTTTATATTGAATAAAATTACGTATTGAAGTAAACAACATTGAATAAGCGCTTAATAAAATACCTACATTGTTGAATTATAAACCGTATAATATAAGGAAGGATTGAAGTTTAATATTATTGTTCGGAGCCATTCGTCTGCTTCGTGATCGTTTTGCAAGCATTTGCTGCCACGTGCTTTACAAACATATCAATTCACATACAACATTATTATATCTACCTACAGACTATATGAAACCTCTTTATTAACATTACATGACGTAGACTGTACTATACACGTGATATTATACTTGTTTTATTTATTGTTACTATTAATGTCTATTGGTCTAGCATCTAGATAATATTTATAATGTCTTAGTGCTAGTGACTATCAAATAACAGTATCGTAAACTGAAAATACAATAACAATGATAAACTTTACAAATGTTTAGAGTTTTAGTGTGGCATTATCAGATTTTATAATTAGACTGATAAAAATTAAATTCCTCTCACCAATTGCACAAGGTCGAGTAATGTTGACTGTGTTTAGTTATCGAATTGGAATCGAAATGGTTTCAATATTTATAAAAGTAATCTGCTCAAACTTATATTTTTCTGTTATCTTATTTAGATATTATTTTGAAATTTGTACATAAATATTTGTTTTTATTTAGATATTTAGTAAATAAGAGTACTGCTACGAAGTACTGTCTATTTAAATAAAACACTTTTAACGGCTTGAAACGCGAAATGCATCCAATTAACTGCTGTAAAGCATCCGGAACATTGAGACGTTGCAAAAATAATTTGTAACATGTATTAATCTATTTCAAGTTTTAAACCGCTAAAAAAGTTTAATTTTAATGTATTAAATTGAACATTTCTTCTATCTCTTCTCTTTCGTATTTATATTATGTATGCTAATCTATCTATAAGGGTTAGTTATAGATTATAATATTATCTTTAGACTTTTAGAGGATTGTGTTAACATGTGAAAATGTAATTTTCAATATCTTTCCAGGAAAAGTAATCGACGAGTTGTATGACAGTTATGATGTGGGTTATAATTCTGATGTGGACCCCACCATAACCAACTCATTCGCTACTGTGGCTTTCCACTTCGTGAACAGCCTCCTCGACCAAGATATAGAGCTTCTTGATGAGAACGACAATGTGACGTTACACCGCTTAAAACACTCTTACTTCAAGCCAGAACTAATTGCTAGAAAGGGGGGTTTGGAAAAGGTGCTCAGGGGCATGATCAGTCAAAAGGCACAGGACTTGGACTTCAATTATGATGATGATGTAAGTACCAATACATAATAGTATCGACTATGAGTATTAAAAAAATCAAAGAGGGGAACCTTGAACCCTTGACATGACTTGTTACCGGATCTGCAAATTGAGGTGCAATGTAATTTCTACCTTAATTAGTAGGCATTAAGGTTTCAAGTTATTTGATTTCGCGCTTAGGGAAAATCCATTCAGGCAGCTTAAGCAAGCTCAAAAAAACAACAACAGAATCGGGACTCGAACTTACAGTCTATAATACTTTTTTAAGTCGATTGAGTTTTATCGTGAGAAATTAAATTATTATCTGTTCGTTTCTGGCACTAAATACTACGTGTTTAGCACTAAGTTTAAAGTTTTATTTGACTAATAATTTTTATAGTTAAATATTGTGGAGATTATATAATTATGATATGGAATTCGGTTATTTCTTATACAGAATTTATACCTATATGTAGGCAGAGATTTATATTACATTTGTTTATGAAGCTTAATTGTATTTTTGACTTTGATGAATCACTTTGTCTGGTAATTTCATCAGACATTATTTGATTATTGTGTTCATAATTTTTGAATTATTATCACAATTGCGTATTTATATTATGCGGCTACTATTTTTATCAGAGCGTTTGAATGTCAAGTGCTTTTAACAACAACAATAATAAAGATACAATAACAGAGAAAGAAGAGTAATACTTACGATTTTGCGTGCTTCTTTAATGTCCAATTTTAAAGACTAAGTCATTGGAAGGTATATCGATGTTTTCATAACATACACTTATCAAAATTCGACACAAACTTGAATTTTGTTTGCAATGACTTAATAACACACTGTATGCTATTTTTAACATTTTTTTAACTTGGTTAGAAATAAAAGAGAGTTATTTTACTCTGCAGCGTAAACGATAGTATGAAAACGCGAGGTTAACGCATTATAGAGAGTTTATTTGAGACATTTTCCTGTTGCGACTTCATACCGGTATAACGTACAATCATGTACAATTCACATTGCTTCTCACTCCGATAGATGCCGCCAGAACGCGTCCAAAACTCGCATTTAAAGTATTGTTTCGCTTCCTAATATACCTCGCCCTAGCTATGGCTACGTTGCGTTAAGCGACCAATAAAGGTCGTGGGTTCGATTCCTATGTATTTTTGAAGTGAGAAGCGTAACTAATCTTGCGCTATTCACGTATAAATTGATTAGTCAGTGATGAACTATATTTAATAGGTCGCATATTTCTCTATATTTAGCTGAGCAGCTTTATATATTTTTCATAGAAACTGTATTGAGAATATTTATTTTTTACACTGGCGACCTAAGCCTTAAACCTAAGGACGTTAACTTACTCTAGTCGCTTATGTGCATTCTAAAATAAAATCGAGAATGGTACAGAGGACACAAAAATGTGTCCGCTGTACCATAAATAACATTTATAATAGATTAATGACAAAACATTTTAATGTCACCCTTGAAATAATACGAACGGCGAGATAGTTTTTTGTAAGCCTTTCTTTTATATCTATAACTATATTATTTTAGGTACATACATATTCAAATTTGATAATTGTAACAAAACTGCGCTTGTTTTAATATAGTAAACTAAACTATATCACAACGCCTAAAACAAATGAAAATACACACAAGATACAATAAACAAGAATATATATAAAATGAGATGGATAAGTATTACTGCTTATCCATCTACTAGTGTTTCTTTAAATACTTAAAACACACCTCTTTTCATCACACCTCCGAGGATGCCGGTTCATATCATGTCTAAGTCGTAGATTTTGACAATTCCTAATTATACATATAGCTAATTTTCTTTCATTAATGAAAAATGTATTGTTTATAGCTACGTAACCACTGGTTGGGTGGTCTCGACGTATTGGCAGTGGACGTTCAGCGTGGAAGAGACCACGGTCTACCTGGCTATGCGCAGTACCGTAGTTTGTGCGGCCTCCCCGTTGCAACCAGCTTCTCTCATCTCACTGACGTCATTCCTCAAGAAGTGCGTAAAATTACACAGTTCATATACTATTGTATAAAAAAAAATGGATTGGTTCGGGACGTGAGGACAAATTAGTGTGTCTCACCGATTGATGTATGTTACTGATTTGTGCCTTGCTCAACCGAAACTACTTATATCTCTCCACCATAAGAACAATTAATGCATTGCTTTCTTTTAAAATAGAACTACGTAGGGTGTGTTATGAAATAAGGGCTTTATATTATACGATCTTATTAACACAATTTTGAAGGGCTAGCTGATGTCATTGTAGCAACATAAGGCAATTTTTAATTAAAAGGTCGTGAGGTCCTTCCTACCGGGGACTACATGTATCTAAATGGCGCATAATGTTTAACAAAAATTTCGCTTTTCCAGACTGTGGAGAAATTGTCCCAAGTATACGAGCAAGTTGGCGATATAGATCTCGTAGTTGGAGTGATGGCCGAGACACCGCTACCTGGCTCCTTGATAGGACAGACTGCGACGTGTTTCCTACGTAAGTTTCTGCTATTCATATTTACAGGCAACATTTTGAACTTCATTAGTCATTAGTCACACATATGAACTTAACTTGTTTAAGTGAATTTACGATATTTTTTTGATTACATTTCTTTCTTATAATCTATTGACTTAAGCGTAACTTATTACAGGTGAACAGCTATGGCGAACACGTTCAGGCGACCGTTACTTCTACTCACACACGCACGAGGCAGGTAGCTTCTCAAAACGTCAGATGGCGGAAATCAAACGAGCATCCCTTGGACGTCTTATGTGCGATAATCTGGAGATAACTGCTATACAACGAGACGTATTCCAGCCTCCTAGCGACAGGTATTTAATCTTAAACCTTAAATCTTAAACCGTTATTTATTCATTGTTAGTTTTAAAAGTATAAATACTTCGGTATAATCTGTTACGTGGTCGTATTTTTCATAAAAAAAATTATAAGTTGAATGGCTTTACGTTTCGATAAATATAATACCAATAATATATTTATTATTCTTATCTTATCGAAATAGTAGTCACAGTGTGGTAATTTTCCAAAAGTTAAGCGATACGTTTATCAGTTAGCAAACATGTCTACCATTTATATTTGATATCAATTGATTATTTTTTTAATTAATTAAAGTTGTACCCTTAGCTTATTCTAATACAATTTATCTACGATCAAAATAATCATAGCCTCACCTTTAAGGAGACAAAATAGAAGGCATATTATATAGTATTTTGAGAAGGAAACTACTTCAATACGTAACGGGTTATAGCGTCTGTCCATTTAGTTATCACTTTCGAGGGAAGTCTTGAAAAGCAGACATGTTCTTGGACCATTTGGTCTCAATTTTACTACGGGGTTCTAAATCTGCCAACTCTCAAACACGACCTGGTGATAGAGATTACACAAAACCACATTCTTAAAAAAACTAATGCCTTTCACAAGCCAACTCAAATACTATGATCCTACCCATTTTTAAAGACTAAATACCTATCTACTTTAAACTAACATTCATTTTCTTTACAGCAACTCCCTTGTATCCTGTCATGAGATAAAGAAAATAAACCTTGAAGCATGGCAAGACCCGTCGGAACAACCAGACATTCTCACACGCACCAATACCTGGCTCAAAAACAAAGTTGCCAGCTCAAACTCCACTAAGTAGACTGATTATACGCACTTATTTTATATGGTAACTGTGAATGAAGACCTAATAAGTTTTATATAAATTAACTTATTAATAATTAATATTTTTAGAAAAACCATTGCCTTTTTCAATCAAATAATTTTTATGTCCTTGTTCACAATATTATTATTTAAATTTATGATTAAGTTATTATATTTCGTTTGTAAGTATTTGTTAAGTAACTATAATGTTCCTATATGCGCTATTTCTCAATAAATATTTGGGCATTTAGAGTTTCGATATAATCTATTTCAAGTTGTATGAATGAATTTATAATGACAATACATTCCTAAGTTAAGCTATTTATGTAATTATAAACGCACTGGGCTCTTTAAGTTTCAGTATTTTAACGTCGATCAGGCGAATAAAAATCAGCGCGATCTCGTCTTTTGCTATGCCTTTAATAGTAAAGGGGAATGTCCATGTTCGAAAGTGAACAGGTCAAAAACGAACGTAAAAACGTAATAATACCAATATTCTATTGGTATTTCAATATTAAACTTTGACTTACATAGTTAAAAAATTGTTTCCAGTGTCCCTTATTTTAAGAATTACGAGAGATTTTTTTTAAGTCCTGAATTTGGTATTAAAAGTTTTTTTCGAGTACTTTGTCTATATGTGGCCTGGAATGGGTAATCCCCTTTATTGATCAGCTAGATAGATCGTGGGGTTTTTATTTTCCTTTTCGGTTGGTAGGATAGCCTTAATGGACACACGTTAATCAGACTTGGGATCAAGCACGACCCAAGTTTCGTCCCTTTGGACGCCATGGAAAGTGGCTGTGATAACGTGAATAATTATGTAGTTAGGACGTGTTAGAGTTAGATCCATATGTTAAAAGATCTAGTAAGAATGAATACCGTCGCCTACTAGATTTATATAAACGCCGAAACGAGTTAATAGCGTTGTCTCTTTCCCACAATCTCTAACAACAAGGATACAAAATAGACAGAGGTTCAACATTTTTCTCTATTAACTTGTTGAGAAAACATAATGTAGCTATAGATCCATAAAGGTGATTGTACATGCATATTAATCGAATAGTAATAAAATTAAGTTGGCAACACCACCTCGTTTCAAAACATATTGCTTTATATATATGGGGACTGCTAAATATTCTATCAATATAGTAAATAAGCCAATTTATAAAACGCACTTTTCCGATAGTATAACTTGGTGTAGCTGCAGTTCTTCGGCGTATTCTGCTAAAATAATATGATATCTAGTAGTAAATACAATTAAACAAAACCTGTTTTTAAACTTGCCTGTGTATTACATTTATCAGGTCTTATTTACATTGTTTTAATCAAATACGTAAAAAAATGCGGTTACAATTGGTATTAGCGACTTGCCAAAGACTGTTTGAAAATTAGTATAATAATGAATATTTTTATAAGTGGATTTAAACTAAATTTAATGTCACCGAAATTGTTATTAAAACATTTTAAGTTAAAACAAATGAAAGTTGTGTGCAGCAAACCATATTCTATCTTGTAAATTAATGAATTGCATTGTACTTGACATCAACACGCATTGTTTTCGTAAGAATGAATGTAGGAAGCAATTTTCATTTGAAGAGCTTCAAAACAAAGAATGCCTTGTGCTCGTTGGCATTCAGTGTAATTCGAATTTATTTTTCCTTTGTATTTGACAATAAAGCTATTTATTTGCAGCTATTAATTGCATTTCATTTTATAAACCTACTAGCTGAGTCCGCGTAGAATAGATATTTTGGATATCCATTTTTGATTTAGCAAGCCCCCTGTTTAACAATATTTCTATAATATGAGGTCGAGATAATTAGGGAGGAATAATTTTCTTTCATACATATTTCTTGGGTATCTTGAACCGTTTTCGCAGCGCACGCAATGGAAACCCACAAATATGAAGTTGTTCCCGTTTTTTCTACATTTACCCCTGTTTCTTATTCCTATTAGTCACAGCGTGATGTTTTATAGCCTATAACCTTTCCCGATAAATGCTCTAAGGTTCGTTTATTTGAACGCGCTTACCTCAGTAACTGCTGGGTCGAATTAAAAAGTTCTTTGTCCTTTGAGTGTGTTAGATCATTTATCGTGGCTAAAACAAGCGAATATGCAGTGGGAAATCTAGAGAAAACGGGGAAACTTATTAATTTTTTGGGCTTCCGTTGCGTACGCTACAAAAACGGTTCCAGATACCCAAAATATATGTATAAAAGAATGATTCCCCTTTTAATCATCTAAAAAATTGTCCGCGCCACTATATTTCTAACTTTTAAGATTAACTTGCAAGAACGACGGGACGCGCCCGGCGTCGTGCGTAAAGTAGAGTCTCAGAGGAAATCTGTAAAAACAAACTTTGATGCTCAAAATAACCATTCGACGCGGACGAAGTCGCTAACTTTTCGCCTAACGCATTATTCGAATCCTGGGCCACCAGATGTACAAGTTACCGCTAAACTAACAAGATCGTCTATATAATGTAAAACTTATTTCACAAACCTCCATTTTATTCATCCTATCGTAATTAATGTTATCGTAGATAATTAATTTTATGTGAACATAATACCTCGAGAGATCGGTCTTGAGAACTATGGAGATATATTCATTACCTTTATACCTTATCTATAACAGAGGGTTTCTGAATAGATTACGAAAATGCTTAATTTCTTACCAGCCCTTTGGAGTATCTGCCATGAATAAATAGTATAATTGTTTATATTCAAGTCATTGTAAGTTTACCTTGAAGGTTACAAAAGTAATTAGCACAGAGGTTTGCTGTTCGAAATATCGGAACGCGAAAATTAGTTTTTATATTTATAAACAATGATCTTGTTTATCTACACTAGTATTATAAAACTGATAAATTTGTTTGAACGCACTAATCTTTAGAACTGCTAGGTCAAAATTAAGTTTTGTTTTGGATAGTCCATTCATCTAAGAAAGCTATTAGTGGGAAATGTACAAAGAACGGGGAAAGTTAGTCATCTTCGTGGGTTCCGGTCGTGTACTGCGAAAATCGTTCAATATACCCCAAAAAAATATGTATGTATAATATGATGCTCATAATAAAATTTCCACACTATTAATTAAAATGCGTCAGATAAAGTTGTTCTTAAACACTGTCTGTAGCTTACACGAGGAGTACACATTTAAATAACACATCTTTAACGGTTTAAAACGAGATATATATCAGTTAACTCACAGTTAAAAATCTGTTTTAACTATGCCTGACGTTTCTTTGCAGCAGTCGTGGTTACGGCAGACATAACCAAATAAAACTTAAATAAGTTTACTTATATATTTCGCTTATTTAAAAGCTGGGTCGATTATAAATAGTCTCGATCTGAGAGCTTTAAAATAATGTTGTCAAGGCGATATGGCCGTTTTGGCGTGACTATGGTGTTCCAAGGCAAAACAAACGAAAAGAAAGGTTAAAATTACTATATCACGTTATGGTCACGTCATCCACCTTAATGTGTTATTGTATAACGCGCAATTTGACATTATTATACGATTGTGAAATGCGCATTCTTGGACTGTTATAAAACAATATAAACGCAACATTACTTGTAGACTAACAGCTCTTAAAACTATATTTATAGGCAGAAGCATAGCGTTTATAATAAGAAAATATAGATTACAACAAAAATTCAACGGTCCAACCACATCGGTATGACTTATAAAACGAATTTGTTCTACAATATAAATGTTGAACAGATTCGTTTATCATTTAATTAGATAACAATTAATTAATTACTAAAAATAATAATTATTGTTCTGTTATCCAAATATTTATACTCGTCTTGTAGTTTCAAACGTGAGAAAAACGCCGGCGCTGCGCAAAATGTTGGAGCCAGTGGGGAGCGAACCCTCGACCCGTTGATTATTGCTACTATTACAACAACGAGATCGTCAAAGTTTGAGTCCCTTTTAATTATTAGTGATCGATGTCATCATATCAGATTTCATATCACGATCAATGTTCGCAAACGAAAAAGCATAGCATATGGAATTGAGTACTTCTTTTTTGAAGTCGTTTTGGCGCAATTCACTCATTAACCATTATGTCTACTTTTGCAAAGTAACAATTTACCGTCACTCCACATAGGTTAACAAAATGTCATGTTGGCCCCTTAAAATATACACCGACAGGTAGGTATATTGTATTTAAGATAAAGTTTTACTACTTTGTAAGATGAAAATGAACTCTTTTAGTTTTTCAATTTATTAACTTCGCGGAACCGTGGAAACTTGCTCTTTGTTTACGACGTTATAAAGACGTCGCTTCTTCCCATAATGGCTACACGCGTATTTTATATCCTTAGTAAATATTTTCGTCCTTGGCTGAATGGCTACATTTATACGTGATTTCAAATCATATTGAGCTGTTTTTATTATTCACGACCGCCTCTGTGGCTGAAATAAGAGTATTAAACAAAATGAAGCGCGCAAGGTCCTGGGTTTGAATCCTGGGGAAATGTCATAAATTGTTTAATTCGGGCAGAGAACCCTAATGAACTGTTTGGCGATATCTATACTTGTATAGATATCTATAAATAAAAGCGAAAATCCGTATGACAATTATGTGATTTCCGTTGCCTTTTCTGCGAAAACGTTTCAAGATACCCAAAAATTTGGATGAAAGAATGATGAAAAATGATCTAAAAATATCTCTGACAGTATATTTCTTTCGTATCTTTTATGAGGAACTAGCAAAAACGACGCGACGCGGATGAAGTCGCGGGTGCCATGAATTAATAATAATTTAGAGATAACAAATTAGAGACAGTATGTTATTAACGAACAGTCAAGTTCAGTATTATAAAATGTGAAAAGTTTGATAAATCAATTGGAATTTTATATAAAAAATATGATATAATTTAGAAAGCCAGCCTTTGACTTGTGTTCCAGTCATAAATAAAGTAATAACAAAGGCGCAAAATATTTTCATGGAAGACGCTCCAAAAAGATATCGTTTTCTTCATCGTAAAATAA